TTATATTATAAAAATAGATAGATATATAATTTTTTTCATGATTTCTCTCAAAAGGAATATCATGAGTTGATAACTTGAGATGATCGGGATCTCAAATTCAAGAGTAATTAATAAAAGATAAAGAGTGAGCAATCATAAATTCCTTCAAACAATAGTGTTGTACATGCCAATCATTCGAGTCATTGTTAATGTGTTGGATTTCTCTCTTATGCTATCCTCCCTCACTTATAATAAAGAGTAAAAAGGTAAAAATATTCATAAAGTGATTAAGTAGGGACACATAGTATCTTAAAGTGAGAAAAAGAGTAAAAATACTCATAATGTTATATGAGTGGTGCAAAAGTGACTAAACCATTAACTTTGATCGTTAAATGCTAACTGTACATGTCATGTATCAGTCTTTATTGACGTGGATTAATAAAAGGACAAAAATACCCATGAAGTCATTGGCCTGGAGTAAAAAAACCCATAATGTTATCAGAGTTAGTGCAAAAGTGATCAATCTATCAAATCCCTTAAATGTTGATCGTTTAGCTAACATCTAAGCAGAAGTTGACCTTTGTTTGCTGACATGGACAAAAAATATTCCCAGATGAAATTCTTTGAAGGTTGATTGGTCATTGTATGAATATCATATGAGAAAATGTTATTTTGATTGAATATCAAATTAAATCGTTTGTTTTTTTTACAACAATGGAGAAAATTATTTAAAAATTTTGAACCTGTCATGAATGAAATTGTTTAGGATTGTGACAATATTCTTAAGGTAGGGTGACATAAGAGGTGCGCTCAATCTCAATTTTTGATTGTGTACAACCTATCTCACTATGTTAAATATCAGGTTTTGCAAATAAGAAAAATGAGTGAAGAAGGGAGAAGGAAGAGGGCGAGATACAAGGTGATGGAAAGAAACCATGTGACATGAATTTTGACGAATTGATCACTTTTAGACCTACTAAAGTAACATTATGGGTACTCATATAATGATCGATTAACATTCATAAAAATTTATTTGAGAATATTTTTTGTCTACATCAACGAAAAATAATCTACTCTTACTTAGGTGTTAACTAAACAGTTAACATTTAAGAGATTTGATGAATTAATCACTATTGCACTATCTTTGGTAACATTATGAGCATTTTTGCTTCTAGCCGATGACTTCATAGGTATTTTTGTCCCTTTATTAGTCCACATCAACAAAGATTGACACGTGACACACACAATTAGTATTTAACGATTAGAGTTAATGGCATTAGGTCAAAGTTAATGGTTTGATCAATTTTGTACCTATTTATGTAACGTTATGTGTATTTTTTTTCCTTTTCTTTACTTTAGAATACTGGGTGTCCTTGACTGATCACTTTATGGATATTTTTACCCCTTTACCCTATAATAAATAGTCATGCAAGGCTACCACTAAATAATAATAAATTATAAAAAAGAATCACTAAAATTTTTAGGGATACTGGGAGAAACATTGGATAAATGAACTTTATAGAAGAAAAATATTTATAAGTACTAAAGAATTTAAAAATGATTACTTATTATCTCACCAGTTATAATTTAATGTTGTAAATCATGTAACTTAGAGCTGAAGTCACTTTTCATATTTTAAAATAGGGTACAAAGGAAAAAATATCTATGAAGTTATCAGCTAAGAATATCCAATAGCCTAGAATGAGAAAAAAAGAAAAAAAGTGATCAATTCATTAAATCTCTCAAACATTGACCATTTAACTAATACCCAAGCAGACTACTTTCTCTACTAATATAGACTAAAAAAAGGGGGGAAATACTGATAAAATTATTGGTCAACGTATTTAGTAACCTAAAGTGAGTAAAAGGGTAGGAATATTCATAACATTATTTTACTAGGTGCAATAGTGATTAATCCGTCAAATTCGTAAAACATTGATCGTTTAGTTAACACTTAAATAAAAGTTAATCATTTTTTACTAACGTAGACTAATAAATATTTCCAGGTGAATTCTGTGGAGGCTAATCTGTAATTGTATGATGATTAGTCTCCATTTGAGGCTTTGGTTTTGACGACGGAGGCGGCATAAGAAGGTGATTTGCCTCTTCTCCTTACATAATCTCCTTAGTGCTACTTTTATTATGCCCACTATCACTTCTTTTGCAACTTCTTTTCTCCTTAAACCACCATTCAAAGATCCTTCATATTTTTGCTATTTCTCCCTTTTCAAATGTATAGAACATGAATAACATGTGAAAAAATATCGTTTTAACCGAACAAGTTAAATTGTTCATTTCTTTAAAATTCTTATATTATTGAAGCTTATTCTTGATGATCTAAATCGATAAAGAAAGTTTCCTGTAACTCAATTTCCTTTCCAACTTCACTCGCAACATCACATTTGAGAAAATGTTTAAAATCTTTATTAAAGGTATCGTAAGATGAAAGAAACCACATGGCATGAATTTTGACAGATTAGTTACTATTGCACATACTAAAGTAATGTTATGGGTATTGTTGCCCTTTTTTTTTCACTTTGGGCTATTGGATGCCCTTGGCCTATGACTTCATGGGTGTTTTTACCTTTTCTTTAGTCCACATCAATGAAAAAATGGACAGTATTTGTTTAGGTGTTAGCTAAACAGTTAATATTTGTGGATTTAATGGATAAATTACTCTTATACCAACTTAGGTAATGTTATGAGCATTTTTAATTTTTTTTCTCATTTTAAATTATTGGATACTTTTAGTTGATGACTTCATAAGTATTTTTATTCTTTTGTCCTTTAAAATAAAGAACATCAATTAGATATCAATCATAGACCATGGTTATAAGGATTGTCATATACTCTTATTTTTACAACTTTATTTATTGCTCATAGATATTATTTTATCAAAAATAATCATATTTAAAATATGGTTGAGTATTAAATATAGACACATTTTCTATCTATAGTTATATTTTTACAAACTTGAGTCATTGTCTCATCTCAAATTTTACTAACTTTCAGTTTCACTCAACATTTTTTTTTTTTTTTGGTTGCCAAACTTTGAATTTCTATCTTGGAATAACAATATGGAGTGCCATTCGGCTACTCATTGTGGCACCAAAATTTCTCGCTTTTCTCACTGAAGTCCCTTAAGTATTTTATTGTGAGTGTTGCTGTCCTGCTTATTATTCAGGTATAATGAATCGACGGAATCCTAAGCTTCTCAAAATCAATATCTGCTTTGATTCAATAGAAGTCTTCTTGTACATCCCGCACAATTTTTCTAATAACCACCCATCTCAAAAACTATAAATAAAAAATAAAAGATTTTGTTATGAAAAATTGTGGGATCATGTTTGATTAGGTATTCAGAGAAGCAAATAGATATACTAATTCATTTATTTACCAAGCATCCAGTGACAACTTCAATCCTATGATATTCAATTATCTGTCTCGGTGGAATCTTAAAAATTCAGACATAATCTGATTTATTTTGTCTCCTTGCACTAATTTTTGTGGCTTTGCACGCACACATAAATTTTGAATAGCAACAAAGAGCTGGCGTTAATCCAAAAAACGATTAGGCATTTCTTAGGAACCGTATCTAAAGCAGAAGGGAACGTTGAGTGACCATTTGGATTTGGGGGGTGACTTTGATCCTATTTGATTATTTGAAGCGCAGGGGCGAAACCCACCTTTTAATTCAAGGGGGGGCCAATTTTTTTATTTAAAAAATCAGTATATATTATTAATTTATTTTTTATGACTTCAAAAAATCAAATAATAATAATAACCAAATATTTAAGTTTATGTATGCAATATAATTTTAATAAAATCATATGATTTTCAAAAAATCACTTAACCTATAACTCTTTCTTATCATTAATATTTTTTATTTTTTAAATTTAAAATCCAACTTATTTGATTGAAAAAAAACATTAAATATATAAATTTAATACCTAGGTTTTTTTCAATAATAAATTATGTAAAATTATGCACCACTAGATGTTGATGATTTGGAGGGAACAGGATAAATATTCAAATTTTATAAATAAATTAAATCAATATATATAAGATATAAGTTTTAAAAATATTTGGCAGACATAGAATAATCTTAACTAATATTTTAAGCAAATTAAATAAAAAAGCCTATATTAATGCAAATTCTCAATTTATACATTAAATATTATGTGGTATTTGACCTCTTATAAAAAAATGTGGTATTTGAAATGATTTACTTGAAAGAATAAAGGGATATTAATATATATCCAAAAAAAAAATGTATACATGGATACTTATTAAACCTCCATCTCATCAATCTCCACTTTGGCTCCCCACCACATCACCCCATCCCACAACCAAACAAGCCCCACTCCTTAATTTATACAAGCTGAGGCGTGGAGCATGGCCAGTTGGCCCCCCTTACAATCAACGTGGGTACGCCCCTGTTGAAGCGCTTGTGGTCCGGCGACCCACGATTGCGAGCGCCTCACGGAAAATATTTTTGTGACATCGATTCATGGTCGTGGAAGTGGAGAAGAATTTAGATTTAATGTAAGAGTCAACTTAAGATAAATTTGACCGGATATCAATTCAATCTTTTAACAAAACTATCGAATTTAGCGTTATTTTCTTTACAATGTCTTTAGGGAAAAAATTAATTTTCACAAAATGTTTGAAATATGAAGTTTTTGTAAAATATTCAAATTCTTGAACGCCTGATGACTTTTATAAATAATTTTATACTTCTGTCATGCCATTTTATCATTTACGTGATATCTTTTTTATGATGGTAAAAAAAAAATATCTTTTTTAGAACATACAAATTTTGGTGTTTTCACTTAGCAATCGTGGTCACCCCGAACCCTTTGCATGAGATTCGAGTACCAATGTCAACCTCGACGTTACTCGGTTCCCTCTAGCCTTCGCATTTCACTTCATCTATAATGAGGCATATCCATGCACCGGATCCTTAAAGGTGCCCCAATCAACGGATCAGAACCTTTCAACTCTCGTTTAACGCCATACCAGAAGAGGGCAAAAGATTCTGGATTTCTTATTGGCATCCATCCCTTGAATCAACAATTATGTACATACACGGTCAATCAGCTATCGGTAATTCAATGCACAACAATGCCAGCTTCTAAAAAATGGCTGGATCTAAGGCACATGCTTGAACATCAGCATCTACAACGGGAGTCCAACTAGTCACTCGGCTGCTTGGTAGAAATTTGACCATCCTTTTTATCCTTGCTAGCAGGTCCATTTCCATTTCTTTGGGCTGCAAATTCCTGTGCCTCTGTGGGGATTGGAGGTGGAGTCATCTCTTCGTCAATCGGAAGAGTTCTTTTTGAGCCCTCTAGGGCAACACCAAGAACAATATTTTCTTCCAAGGCCGGCCTGGCTGGTGAGGAGGATACAGCATATTTGTCTTCGTCCTGCTTTGCCTGTAAAGATGTAGCAGGAGTGGTGTCTCCCCTTCCCCCAGGCTCAAGGGAAGAAGCAGAAGAATTTTCAGGGGCCGAACTTTGAGCAACATCTTTATTTACAGGGGAAGCAATCCCCTTTCCTGCATCTCCGGCACTTTCCTTTTTGGGCTGCGTGGTTTTGGATGTCTTCTGGACGGTACTATCAGAACCCATATTCTGTGTTTGTGCTTCAGAGATTGACTTTGATTTATCCCTGGAGTTTGGACTGGATGTTGATGTTGCAGCAAAACTGTCATCTTTGGAATCAGATAATGTTTCATCACTTTTGGCATCCTTTTCTTCACTTGGACGTGTTGAACGAGTAGAAGCCTTGGCTCTATCTTCACCATTAACTTTGTAAGGTGGCTCTATCAGTAGAAATGGGCGATTTCCTGCTGATCTGGGGCGTGTAAAAATGGTGTCGCCAAATGGTATGTTTTCCAAGTCAGCCTCACTGTATATTTTCTGGACTGTGCGGATGGGGGTGGCTAGCCGGGCTCGATGATGACTAATAACTCTCAGAAGATCCAAAAGGATGGCCTCCTGTTTTATTTCAAGTAAACAAGAGACATTCATCCACTACCCAAACAGAATAACTTGAACACAGTAAAAGAATAATAATCTAATATACAGAAATGCAGCATTACAATTGGTTGACAACAGGGATATTTGGGTCCAAATCCTTTTTACAGGGCACATGAAAACCCACAAATAAAGGGAATCTAAAACAATACTATAACGAAAACTAGATTTAAGAATCTTTATATTAACATTTATAAATATGTTGATAGGTATAAAGCATACCATTTGAGTTCATATTACCTGGACACAGAGGTATTCTTCAAAATGTGAAGTTTTAACAAAGCAAGATATTAATATCTGCAACAAGAAAATCATTCATAAGATAAAAAGGGGTGATCACAGAGAAACAGAAACAAGTATTAACAGAGAGGAAGGGGAGAGGGATAATTTTTCGTTTTGGGTGGGGGTTGGGGAACAGAATTAAATCTACTTCAGATGCTTCAAGTTTAGAGATTTGATGTAAATTAATCTAGCATAGCACACGCAGAATTGAAAAACCTTTGGCCACAGGAGAAGACAAATAGGAATTTAGAAGCACTTTTATAAGCAATGTGGTACAAGCATGATTGCCAAGCAGATTATGAGGTTAACTATAGATGCCAGACACCTGAGTGACTAACAGTGGCAACAAACTAAACCTACAGGTATAAATTTTGATGACTAATTTGTCTGACACCAAAAGTACATGATAAACTCAAAGTTTCATTCCAAAACGGACAAGTGAATGCTATAGTAAAATAGAAAGATAAGAAAAACAGCTACGAGAAACTATCCAAATGCCATCTTTCTCTCCACCCAGTACAGAACATACCAGAAGCGGCAAAGTAAAAGTCAAAAGTAGTGGAAAAAACAAGATAATGGAATTTTTATGCTTATTTCACAAACAAATGAACAAATCAGATATTTACCATAAGAGACTGATTTTCAGTATTGACATGCTCAAGAAAAACCCTTCTGTGCAACTTTTGTTGCTCCACCAGAGGATTTTTGGCCAAAACTTTGCGCATATCAGCAACAATATTCTGAATAAAGACGATAGTCATGAAACAACCTTAGTTTTGGATGAAAATATACTCATTGGAAAGAGCTGGAACAAGTTCACAAACAAATAAGCTAAAGTTTGCTCACATTAATCTTGTTAACATCCAAGTGACTAATAGCAAGGTGAGTCTTGATACGCCAATGAGTTCTCTGTGTAAGATTCCGCACGACGTTGACAGTGAACTTGTGATTAGGAATATGGACTGCTTCACGATCATCACCTCTCACAATTGTTGGTGACCACCAACCTACATGCTGGAGAAAATATGGAATTTTGACCACATCTTATTACAATTAAAGATAAATAATAAAGAAAATCTACTATTAACACAACTACTTCAATTTGTCAGACTCACAAAAATGTGGTCAAAATGGAAAAATAAATTGGACAGCATTATTAATTCTATATTTTAAAAATGACATGGTAAGGATAAGCTAGGTACAAACCTCTACTATACCAGAAACCTCATATCCTTCAATCTTGGTTTTAATCCACTCATTTACAACAAATGGCCGGGTTGCATGAATCATTACACTGGAAAGGAAGTTTGTAAATATCTGAATGCATAGAAACACATGAAGTGAGAACGGCAGAAAACAAGAAGAATCCATCTAATTGATAATGACTATGCTATAGATGACTTTGTCATATAAAATTAGATGAAATTCAAGAGAAAGAGGATCTGAACCATCCATTCCAACAAACAATATCAAAGAAACTATGCTATACCTCACGGCCAGCTAGTGTGAGCAATACTGTACCCAAACCACCAGCAGTTACCCACTTCTGTGTGGAAAAACCTAGAAGCTCCATGAACAATGATACGGCAGCAACCCAGACAGCAGTATATACAGCTTTCCCCGCAAAATCAAAGCCCATCTGCCATTTAAAGTACAATGTGTTCTTGAATGATGCTTGATTTTACACTTAAGAAATGCTCTAAAGAGCCAAGAAAAGGAAGTCAAGAACAATGGAAGTTGAGACTCCCTTACCAAACAATCCAAAACAGAAATCAAGGAAAAGAATCATATGATCTTAGACCACATCCATAAACTGAAAAACCAGCCGTAAATAATTATTCATAATATCAACTTAATATTTTCCAAAGGACAATTACGTTCCTTATCTTTCTTTGTCTCATAAAAGCCCTTCTTAACATTCAATTGAATGCTCTCATAACAAAAATAACTTACCCATCAGTAGTATTACAGCAAAATGCAAACAACAAACAATAAAGTCATGATAAGGCAGGGAAAAACACAACATAACAGAAACATACATTTCTTGCATCACTGGATTCATTCGCCTCCATAAAGAATTTTTGTGCTTGTTGAATCACGCTGAAATCAAGAAGCACAACCACACAACATTATAATTTAAATAAGACATAGAACCTAGTACAATTAGCAAGATAGAGCAACACAAAGAAAAAGTTTAAAATGAAATCACATAATACTATGGGCCTATTTGACAATTTGTTCTGGAAACAGTTTTCTGTTTTCCAAGATAAAAAAAAAATTTGTTTGGTAATATATTTTCAAAAAGTGTTTTAGAAAACAAAAAAAAAAATGTTGTTCTGGAGAATAGAAAAACGGGAACATATTTTAAGTATTTGGGATTATTGTTCTAGAGAATAAGGGAGAATGAGAAAAACACTTATTTTTATTATTTTTTTGTTTTCAGAATATGTTTTATAAAATGTCAGTTCTCAAAACAATAAAGCAAAAACAGTTTCAAACAAGCCTAATACTTTTACAATTGACACTAGCAGGAAACTGAAACAAACTAAGCAGTCAGCATAAAACAATAATTCCAAAACAATATAGGAACATCTAACCGTATCTTTTTTTAAAGTGAAAAATTATTCCAACAATATAAAAAATTAAAACCATGTTTTTGTAAGATACAGAATAACAACTTAGTTGATTTGTCAATTTCAAATGATATAATTTAGCCAGAAATCAAATTTACCTTGATAAACAGTAAGCAAATGAAAGCACAGTTGACAAAGATCTCACAAAATTCAGCAGCCGTTGCTTCACTGCCTGGCTGGCTTCTGATGGTAGGATTAGTGGATCTAATGCCCTGAAACAATTAATGCTGTAGTTAATACCAACAGGACTGGGATCTAAAAGTGGATCATAAATTACAGTCAATCCAACCAAAACCTGCAGATGAGCATAGCCCCAGTCCACAGCAGCAAAGGCTGAAAATAAGAAGTCATAACATAACGTGAACTACTTTTCTTCCAACTATTATCATTCCTCTGAAAAAAATCAATTAATCAGTATTAGTGCTCAATCAGATTTAGACAAAATCATAAGTAACTGATAAGAATAGATGGTAGCAACTTGGAGAAATATAATCCTGCATAGACGCAAAAGAGGCTCAAGACCACAAACAGCAAAGACAATGACACCAAGGGCTGGCATCAACTGAGTTGTGACAGGGCTTCCTTGCAAAGCATCATATGATCTGCATCATATATTTTAAAAAAATAATTTTAAGGAGACATATTCAATGATAATGAGACAAAAAGGAAGAAGACACACAACAAGAACAACAATAAAATAACCCCAGCTGACGCAAAGTTTTTAACAATAACGATTACAAGTTCAAATACTAATCAAATTAGATTCTCAGTCCAGTAACTGCCAAATGTCTACCTGTTCCTCCACCAACACAAAAAGGAAAGAGAGAAACTGTGTTCGAAAAGATGAAGTCCAAGGTTACCAACAACGAGTATCTCTAATACAAACCATAAAACAGGTAGATAAGCAGCAGGGAGCACAGAACTAAGTATGCACTAATGGCATGTGCAACGCTAAATTACTGACAACAGAGCAGTGCTTGGAGAGAAGAATCAACTAGAAGTAAACAAGATATTCCTTTGGTCCTATTTGTGGCAGAGAGAAAAGATTAATTTTGATCCTAATTATAAAGCACTTCACTATTTTTTATGTTTATCTTTACCTTTATGCCCTTATTAAGTGTTACAAAAAATTATTAAAAATAATTCTTTTTATCCTTATTAAGAGGTAGAGGTAGAAATTTATCAAATTTTAAAACAAGATTAATGATGCTCAAAGTTTTGTTTGGTTCTAATGAAATATGTAAAAGCGACTTATAAGTAGGACCAGAGGGAGTATCAAAAAAAGTCTACTATTAAAGACGTTTTTTACACTACAACTATGTTTATGGAAAGCATAATGCATGCCAAAAATACCCGTTGCATATACATGATTCCACATTATTAGTTATAGGAAATAGAATAGCATTAAGGAGGAAGTTTAACTTAAAAAGTAAAAGGTGCATATCTTAACAAACTTAAATTTTATTGCTCAATGAGAGAGGATATATCTTGCAATTCACATTCATCTATGCAGAGGCATGTCAATAATATGTCAAAACTTTCCACAAAAGAAAGGAGAATCAGAGAGGGGACCTTTTAAAGATGACAGAAGCAGATTTCAATAGTGGGGTCCAACTCCCTCCGCCTGGCGTCAATATGGAACGACACAATAAAACATTACATCTTGTAGGAACGGGCCTTAGTGGGGCATGTACTTTACTTAAAAGATGGAGAGCTAAAGAATCCCGCCTCTGTTAACACATACCATGAATCCAAATCCAACACTTCAATACGAAACAACAACTATACAGAAAGAGCAATAAAAATGAAACTGACAGGAAATAGCAAGTCTAGCCAATAAATATCAACTTAATAGATAGATACATCCAAAAAATACCAGAGATCGGAAAGAATAGAATTTTTAATCCATGAAAATGAAAACCATACCAAAGCATAAGGCAAAAGATTGATGGTAACCAAATGTAATCGACCAACGCCCGTTGGTTTCTGTCAAGGAAAACGGAAATGAAAACAGCATTCTAGTCCAAACAAACAGGAAAACTAAGGACATCTCCCCCGGGGGGATCAAAATGAAAACATACACGATGAAAACTGCAGCATCCCCTATTATCGTAGGCCATAATGTCGTGAGACAGCTGCATTGAACCTAGATAGGCCATTATTGAAATGAAGTAGGAGGTCAGGCAATGAGCAAAATATCATATCCCAGATCGAAACCAGTAGATCATTTAACCCAAAGCTAGTGTATCGACGTAGCAGAAAGTTTTTATAGGGGAACGCAGAAGTCCACCTGAAAGAGAGAGAGTAATGGCTTTAGCACGAGAAGGAAATATATAAATTGATCGCAAGCCTTTTTTCCCCCATCTTTTGGAAGCGAAAGTAATAAGAAAATGTGATTTTTGGTCTCAAGACAATTTCACAGCAAACTGAACTAAGCCAAGTGATTTGCAGTTGCATTGAAAAACGAAAACCCTAAGTTAATACAAAATAGCTCATCATATTCGGGGCAGAATCCATAAATCATCCATCAGCACGTCACTCAACGTCCTAAAGAACTCTTCAAGAAATACATACACATATAAGTTGCAAATCACTTGATTAAAAATTAAGAACTGGCTTTCAAAGGAAGAAGAAAAAACCTGATTGCTCCTGGAATTCCCAACTTCCTGGAAATTGAAGAAATTTCCCGGGCAAGCTACTTCCAAGGAAATTGGGAACAGATGCTGCGAGGAAAAAAAAATTATAAACAAGAGCAAGAAAGATGAAGATGGCCTCGCAGCAACAAATGGTGGAAATTTCCAAATGATTTATCCGCAATGGCCTCTGATATTTTAGAGTCGCGAGCAGGTTAAAGAAAAACAAGCCTGACGCGGATGGCTTGACCTCCTTCTAACCTGCGCCAATTCACGAGTTTATTCTGCGTGGTCCAATCAAGAATCTCGATTTCGGATTAATTAGGCTCTTACTTGAATCACCCGCGGATTTTGAAGTTGTGGGATTTTTTTTTTTTTTTTTACCAACGAAGTCGTGGATTTATGTGGCGGCTGGGAGATGATAACTAATGTACACGGCATGCGTGTCTTGCGCGCCTCCCCCCGCTTTCGAGTCAACCTTTTTTTTTTTAACTGATTTCAGTCAACTTTTTTATATTATACATGTGTGTGTCTGTATATTTTTTTTATTTGATAATTTGTCTTCAAGAAAAAAAATAAAAGAATGGATGAATTAAGTTTTTTTAAAAGTCAATTTTATTAATATTCAAAAACTTATCACAGTCACCACCAGCAAAGTTAGTAAAAGAGATCAAAATTTTAAAAATATAAGCCATTTTAACTGAATTTCACCTCTTAATAAAATAGTTATCTACTTTTAAACTAATCATATCTTTTTATATTCACCCCTATTAAACAACCTACAATAAATATAAAGTCATTATTAATGGGGACATTTTTTTTAAAAAGATAATGATTACATCTCGAAAAACTAAAAATACCTTACATTTTTTAACATTTAACTCTTTAAAAATGCCTTATATTTTTAAATGGGGGGAATACGTAATATCAATAACAAATCTTATCTCATTAGGTGGAGTCAATTACATGAATTGTATAATGACATTTGCTTTATCATTTATCAAATTTATAGGAATGTTGTTAATTATGAGGTTTTGATCAACAACTTTTATTAGTATTCTCTTTGGCATTTCTTTACCCCTCCCTCTTAATAGGATTTAAAATTATTTATTTTACTCTTTTTACTGGTACCTTTCACAGTCTTTTTTATACATATCCAAATCATCTTAAATGATTTTATATAATTTTTCTCTCGATAGGTGCTACATTCACTTTTTTTTCATATATACTTGTTTCAAATTTTATCTTTATATGTATAACTACATATCTGGCTCAACATTTTCATATCTACTGCTTCAACTTTATATTCCTATTATTTCATTAAAATTAAATATTTATTAAGATCATAAATAATTTTTTTAATCTTTTTCTACTTAAGCCATACAGCTTGTATTATTAGTACAATATTTAAGATTCAGGAAGCAGAAAAGTCTCGGCCAAAAAATTTTTTTGGGGGGGTGGTGTTTGTAAAAAGGAAGCAGAAAAATCCGAATTGAGTGGATGATAATTAGAGTGCGCGAAAGGTTGGTGTCCCAATCAATCACGTGCAATAATTCCTTGAAGGAAAAGGCGACGTCACTTTCCTTTAATATTTTTTGTTACATACTTTCTTTTAATTTGAATAAACAAAAATAGTGAACAATAATAACTAGGAATAATTTGCTTGGTAATAAAATAAAGTACGTTGTTCCGTGAGATTTCACACCAGTCCAAGAAGCAAAGAAATCAATGTAAAACCACTTACTTTCTATCTTGATGATTGGTGTGGAAAGTTTTACGAAATTATTTTACCAAGGCTTCTACGTCGGTTAATATTATAATTAGTGCCTCGCCTTGTACCGTGCAATGCACGAGCGAGATATCATTTAATTAGATTAATTTATATGTCTTTAGATTTACTTTTTTGTTGGGTGAACTATATTGTATAACTTAGTTGTTGTTACATACCATGTATTTGAAATTAACACGTTGATATGCTGTCTAGTTTTTTTTTTTTTTAACTAAATGTGGTCTTTAGCTTAATTGCATTAATTTGTGACCAATTAAACAATGATAAATGTGAATGACATAATTGTAATTACTTTTGATGGAGAAGTACAAACCATAAACAAAAGTTTAAGCAAATAATCAATATAAAGTATAACTAAAAAAATTATAATCTATTTTCAAAGTTCTCAAATATTTCTTGGAATACTGAAGAATTTTAATACATAATCACATTGTAATTTCTAACTTGGATAATATTGCATTAGTTTTTCAATCAGAGATTCAAAGATTGATACTAAACTGAGATAGCAAAAGAATTATATCATTGTTTTGCACTTCCATCGTCATATAAGCTACTATCATTTGTAAAGAATGCAACAAATATGGTTGTTTGTTAATAATTAAAAAGTGGACAAACATAAAGAAAGATTCTGGCCAAATCTCATAAAAAATATATATGAAATGAATTGGATGCCAATATTGTCTTTGATGCACTTGCTAGACCATATAAATTGCAGCAAGACTATATAAATTACAGTTTAAATAAGCTTGATAATTAAAATTTCATATATTAAAGAATATTTTTGTCCATGATATCCCCTTGAATCTTTGATACCAAGACTAATGATACATGACAAGAATTTCTATAATCTTTGGTGTAATGTCAACGTCAAAATTTTGAAGTTCTCTTTATCAGATAACAAAGTACTCTACACATATTAGCCTCTTCTATCCTAAAATCTTCAGACACATGACAATACAGCCCTGTACGAAACAGCTAGACTACCCAAATTCCAGAATACATAGCATTCCTTCCTCACTCTTACTCTTAGCGGGAGGGGAGTCAATAAATTATAAGTCAGAATCATAACAGGGATAGTTAAATTCATGTTGGAATAGTTTGTAAATGAGGATTCATGATTGCCAACCCATTCTCCACTTTCCATTGTTTGTTTCAAAGTACCAAAAATTTTAAATCTTGCTGCTCGGTTCACAAATTTGTTCACAGTTACTTCAATTAAGAATCTAATGAATAGCGGAAAAATTAGCAAACTCTATCGTGAAACAAATGATGTAAACAATAAACAAAGTTAATGCTTCGGACCCTCGTGAAAAAGGAATTGAAGATGCATGATCAACCGCCACCATTTCTAAAATAAAAGACAACTCTAAAATAGATAAACGTGCTGAAACAACAGAAACAAAACTTAATATTCTGGCAAATGTAGTAAGTACCTCAAGAATTTTGATAATTTCAAGTCAAAGACGCCTTCAAACTTTGCATGAGAAAATAATCACACAAGAAAAAGAAGTGAACTTTAGTAAGTGACCATTTAGCCAACTGCCTTTATTGCTCCCAATTCATTAATCTTTTGAGCACTTATGCTGCAATAAAATAAAATAAATGAAAGCTTAATAAATAGACAAGGAGAAGCTACAAGAAGTATTAATGTATAAAGAATCAAGAGAACGTAACAAACAAATGGTAACTTATCCAATGACAAAGCTTCCACTTCATCACCTTACTTTTCTTGTGTTCGTGTACATCAATAAGATATTCATCTCCATCATGCTTTCTTTTCTATAATCATATGAAGGGGTAAAAATTGTGTAGCATGAAGTTTCAATATCTGAAACAGCATGAAACAAATCTTCATATTTCATTTTCAAATGCAAGCATCAAATCAAACTCATGTCCTAAATTAGATCTTAATTAACAAGCAATCAAGGGTTGATAGCATCAACAGAACTTTTTCAAAATTAGAATTCATAAGATATTCAATGAAGCAACTAATTCACTTAAGGGTTAATGTGCAATTTGAACTTTAAACTATAGGTCTAGGTACAATTTGAACTTCAAACTTTAATTTGATACATTCTGAACCTTAAACAATTAAAGTTGGAGTAATTTCACTCCTACTATTAAATTTAAACATACAGCTATTATTTTTTTAAGAAAATATGTAAGACATGATCAGTGCCAACCTTATATCCTCTTGATACCTCCAACATAAAATCAGTGGTTATTTAGTGACTATATCCATTAACTCGAACTAACCAAGCCTTTTACTCATGAGAAGCTGCCTGGATAAGGCTATCTCACTTACTTATGATATGCCATTTTCCTTAATACTAATAATTACGAGGTGTCGTAGCCTTAATTTAGCTTCCTTATGAATCAATAAAGACTAATTAGGTTTGAGTCCTTTGAAAAACAAGTAGGATAATCCCTTCTAAACCATGGGGGCTACCTACCAATTTCAACGGTCAGTAGTCGGCTTACTTTCAATTCCAATTGTAAGTCACTATTATCACGTGGATTTAATACTACTCCTCACCTTTAGCGAATTCCCACCATAATGATCATGTCATGCACACATTGACATGTAGTATGCAAAACTAATGACAACTATCACATCATAACATAAAATCATTTCCATCATACTTCACACATCTCATTATTCATTTTCAAATATATATACATGGTTGCTCACGCCTCAAATATGCATGTTTAACATACATTTTATTTTCACGTTTGAAGCATTTCACTGATCACATAACATGCCAAAATTTACATGATTGGGTTTACAAAAACCTAACAAAAGTTTCAACAATTTAATTTAACAAATAATTAATTAACAAGCAATTATACAAGATAAATTTTCTCTTAATTACCTCAAACTTTTAAAAGGTAAAAGGTTTACCTTTTAATTATTAACACTTTAAAACATTCCTCAAGCTTGAATGGTGTCCTAGAGTGATTATATCTACAATTAATTAAATTATTCATCAATCATATTCTCTTTGGGATAAATCTCAATACTAACTCAATATTCTCGACTTACCAAGATCATAAATTCACTTCCAATCATACCTATTTGCTTTGCTAGGTTTCCTTAACTCACATTATTATCAATGAGCTATTAAACCACTATTAATAACCATTAAAAACTTTCAACAACCCTCATTAATGTAATTTTGGCCATTTATGGCCTCTTACACCCAACCACTTACCAACCCATTAATATTATGTTTAAATAGTCTAAATAACTCTTATTAAGTCTATTCAAGTCAATTAATTTTGACACATAACTATTATGAAATGAAAATCACTTCTTAAGTCAAACCTTGAGAAAATGGAAGAGGGAAGCTTAATATACTTACCTTTGATTTTAATAAGCTTCTAAACATCATAAATCTTCCTTAAAAGTAAGCCCTAGCATAGCCACAATCATGTTCTTTCTTTCTCTCGCTCAACTCCCCTTTTCTCTTTATTTTTCAAACTAATTTTCACTCCTTTTATTGTCAAAAATTGACCATGCACTATGGCACACGCACCATATGCCACAGCACATGACACAGAGAGATTTCTTTTTACTAATGGTTATTTGTGCACCGTGATGGATGTGCTACACGTCGTGACATGTGTCACAAAACTAGTTTAGATTTTTCTCACTTTTTGATGTTCAAGTGACTCAACTTAATTTCAGACCAGAATTTAAGGTTGAAACTACAACCAAAACTACTCATTAAACCCTTCTAGCCATGCATTACCTTAATTCACTTAATTATCCTAACTAGGCTTAGTTAATCAAGGTTAAATTTCTATGATGTTACATAAACACCTTCTCATCATCCTACATGTAATGGAGTTATGTAATTATTATCATTAATATTAAATATGCATATTAGAGTAAAGCAAATGGTAAAAACTAAATGCATATGGTGTAACCGGATACAATGGGAAGTAGATTAATAAAAATTCATAATCATTTAAATCAGATTATTGAAAATTTCCCTATAAATGATATTAAAGGTTATATCTTTAGAGCGATCATCCTTATCAATAACCAATATTTTAAAACCCTCCATGCTTTGAACATAAGAAACAATAACATATAATTGATTATGAGTGAAAATAAGATGAGGCATGTACATAATGAGAATTGCAAAGGCCAACGTAATAAGAAACTGCCTCCTTCTTATAGTAAATGCAACCTTAATTATATGGACATATAGTAATACATGGTATACATACTTTCATATTTGTAGTTGATCTTGACATTTTTTTGAGCTTTAATAACATGTTTTCCAGCTCAGGTAACTATAAGACGTGTACTATTTCACAATCATATAAACTTATTAATGTTCTAGTTCACGTTAAAATAATTAAGCCTTATTTTATAAATCAAGAGGTCTGACATTGTAATTTAATTTAAAATATCTATAGAGTGCAAGTCATTAAGTGAATTCATGTCCCCATCATCTTTAATAGCACTATTATAGATCAAGTATACAACTCTCTCTTCGGGGAATAGGGATAATATGTACTTGTTTACTTTTCAACCACAACTAACATAGGAGTTAATATAACCCTATCTTTAAAATATGAAGAATTATATATATTGGTAAAGAAATTCGAGAAAGTTGAATTAACAATAGACTTTATTGAATTATTTGACCATCTAGTAACAAATCAATCAGGATCTTAATATCCAAAAATCTTTTATTAGACTTAACAGTAATTCCATCACCAATTAAGATAATCTAGTCAGTAAAATCCAAAGAGCATTGATAGATGCTCAATTATTTATTGCTATAAGTTTCATGTTTGTTGTTAGTGTAAAAAGTTGATAATCATCTTGGAACAAAGAGTTAATTATAGCAAAATAATGTCTTTTCCTTGACCCACTTGGAATAACAAGAAGGTTTGACTTGCCTGAAGTCTCAACCAAACATAACAACTTTTCCTCCAAAAGGAAGATCACCAATTAATAGTGTAACATCCTAAAATTAATTTAAAAACTCAAATTAATTGATTAGGTGGTTTAATTAATCAATTAGGATAATTAGAAATTCATAATTAGGTTTTGATCGCCATTTGGGCCTATTGGGTCCTTTGAAGGTTTAGAATATGGCTTTTGATGCTATTAGGCTGAGTTAGGCCTAAGAATTTGAGCTTAAGTAGAGTTGCCCGTTTTGGGTTGTTCATTCTGTAACGAGCATAACAGAATTCAAAACTTGAATGTCATTCAAAATGATAGGTTTTAGAGAATTATGGGAGAGAAATTGAGAGAGAGACGACATGCTCTACTAGGGTTTCATGTTTGGGTCATTTTAAAGCATTTTGGAGCTCATACAACATTGGGTAAGTTTTATTCCTTCTTCTCCTACCTCTTTTCACTTTGTTTCTCTAGTTTATAGCCTTAAGAAGTGATGCCTAAATTGATGGTTGAGCTACAACCATTAAAGTGATTTAAATAGATTGTTTGAGAGTTATTTAAGGCTTTTATACCTGAGTTTTGGTGGTTAGCAACATTAGATACAATTAATGAAGGGTGAATCTTAATATTAAATAATCAAGCTTAAGCTAATCACAATGATTATTAATCTTAATGGCAGCTAAATAAACTAATGAAAGTTAGTTTTGGGGCTAGATATGTAAGCACCTACTTACCATTAACCCATTGACACTCGCCATCTATGATGATTAAGAATGACCAAGGTTAAAAAAGTTAATTTCAATTTTATTACAAAACTCTTTAGAAGTTGGATCCAAATTTTAAAACCATTAACTAAAAACATTGAGTTCAAAACTTTTAAAACAAAGTAAATAACTACACGAAAGCATGTACTAAACAATTCAAAAGTCATCATAAACATTCGACTCTTGTTTCAACATTCATTAGCTTTATCTTGGACTTATACCCAGTTTAAAATACTAATATAAACATTTTGCATAATTAGCATTTGTACAAGCAAAGCAAAACATAATTTAATCCTCTCAACTAGCCTCATGGCACAGTTTAACTAAGGGAGTTTACAATATTGCACTGCTTATCTTACAATCCACACCTCAGTGTGATCCTATAATACTTCTCATTTGATAAACATAATCATAAATTCCTCTTTTATTTAGCTAACTAACCATGGCCCTTATAGGTTTATACTCAAAGAGTTAGCTACTTTAATCCATAGAAAAAACGTACTTACAATTAATATGCATTGATAGTCCTAGTTGACAATATATAAATATACATAATATAAATTCTCTGCACATATATACTAAAGCATTTCAAGCAATTACTGATTTTGTGCCTCTGGTTTCTTTCTCCTTTGCACCTACGAAGCATTACTTGTAAAAATATTAACAACGAGGAGTGAGATAAACATCTCAATAATCAAAGAATTTCTAAATTCTAGCACATATTCAAACATCATTTAAGGCTGTAAAAGCAAAACAGTCTCATACCCTAACACCACAAGATCACATATATTACCACATATTCTCATATAATACCAAATACTTATATATGACATCATATACTCATGTAAATATGCATGCATGATCATCTGCTACCTTATAACCTTCATATTCTTTTTAATTGAGTCTACAGGCTACCAAGTAACATAATTAAATCTAGATATCTTGACTCACCTCAAGCTTCCCAATATTTAAGGGCTAACCCAGCCACCAATCTTAAAACTTAGATTATAGACTTCCTAGTCCACAAGGTGTCATACAATAACAAGTACACATACCTACTCCTAGAATGAGTCTCATCAGCTAGGGTAGAACCACTCCTAACCCTGTTAGAGTTGGTGCCACAACTAAACAATTATAGGCATTACCCAAACATTGTCCATGCCACGTAACTTAAATATATTCTCTCAAATCACAGGGTGAACTCCCACCCATCTACGTCAGACATGTACACCATATTTATGACTATGCCACTCTAACATTTTTAACAATTTTACCACATATGCAAATCACATATTTTTCAATAATTCATAATTTCATAATAATTCATGATTTCACAATAATTCAATACTATATTATATAAGGAAAACATAACTTTGGGTTCTTGCATTTTGTTGGCATTTTGTTATAATTTCCTGCATTTTTTTGGTGTTTAGGCCCCTGCACTTTTATTTTTTGGTGTTCTAAGTCTCTGTATGAATAAAGTATAAAGATCTAGGAGGAACCTAGAATATCAAAAAATAAAAATGTAGAGACTTAGAATACAAAAAAAAGTGTAGGAACTTATAACAAAAGGCGAACAAAGTGTATGGATTTAAAGTTATGTTTTCTTTATTACATTCAATACTCTAGTTTATCGCTCACGTTTGTAACATATAAATCACATATGCATACATCTTTTGTGTGCGCACACATACACATAAATCATACTTACACCTTTTTCCTCAAAAACATTATTTATAAGAATATATAATAAATGTTAGAATTAATATATGATGGGATTTGAGTTCTTGGTTACTTCCACCCCTTGAGTTAATCAAAATGTGCACTCAAAGCATGTTTCCACAAGGTCCTCAATCACATACAATAGCTACAAAACATTAATCTATAGTTAGCATTATAGAGTTTGTTATTACTGGGAATTTGTATATACCTAACATTACCCATGATCTAACATAACACTCCAGACTTATTATGTTAATTAGTTTAGAGTTTCCATTAATTTTATTAAATTCATTAGACCCCCAAGAGTGTAGCTAAACTCACTTTGAACCTCTACAATTCATTATTTACATAAGGATTCTTTATTAAGTCCAGGGTTCTAGGTTAAATTTCATACGAAGGACGAAGTTAATAAATTTCACATGAGGAAACAAATTAAAGATTCAACTATTGAAAAATGCCGAGTTGGATGTCACGAATCGTTTGACCACATTTCATCTAGATCCAATGGTGAATGAATTCAAAAACAATAATTTATCAAGACTGTTATGTAAAGATGTAAAAATAGCTATTTCTAATGACAAAGTTAATAATTCTCTAATTAAGTGACTAATTAATGATCCAATAATTGAAAAGGACAAGTTGTATGTTGTGAACCTTTGGACCTAATTTAAGCTTGATCTAGTGTTAAAATTTTTTTAAAAATACTAATTTATGAAGAATATTTTGTGAAGATGCGATAATAGTTGTTATGAATAACAAATTTAATAACTTTTTAATCAAAAAATTAATCAATGATCCGATCATTGAACAGGACAAGTTGAATGTTACAATTTATGACCAAGTTTAAGCCCAATTTAATGGTTGAAATGAAAAGTGGAAAAGAAACAAAGAGTGAGGAGGGAATGGAGAGAAGTAGGATGTATTCTTTATCCTACCCAATAATAATAATAATGATAATAAGACATCCAGCAGTTTCTGCATTGCCCCCTCAGAAAATTTGAATCAATCAACTTTCCCTCCAGAGGTTTCAATTGCACCGGCCAGGGCACTATGCACATGACGACTCGTTTCGAATTTCGGTCATAGAAATCTTCTGCTCCAGGAGCTTCATTTTGCCATTCAGTTCCTTGTTCCTTCGATCGTTTCATAGTTATTCGAATCACATTCATTTCCTTTCCATTCTGCCGTTATTTTTTTTTTTGGGTTTCTGGGACAACGATGCAGAAGACGAATCGGCGATCCAAGCAATCGACCTCTTCAAATGAAAAGCAACAGTACGAGGAGAGGATTCGCGAGCTCGAACGACAAAACAAAGCGTATGAGGTCGGTGTATTTTTTGATCAATCAAGATTTGTCTGTGATCTGAATGATGTTCCGATTGTTTGCTAAGACGATGTTAAAAAATAATTAGAAGTATTCAATTCTACTTCCTGACTTGTCAGATGGAGATTGAGGAACTGAGGCAACATGCAAACGATTCATCTGCTCCTAACCATGGGTTAGAAAAGCTTAAAGAAGATTATCTTCAAAAGCTCAATGCACTTGAACTGCAGGTGAACATTGATTTTGACAATGGAGATGAGTCTGGTAATTGAACCATGGTTTGTTACAGTATATGCCATTACAGGCTGCAGAATTGAAAAAGAAACTGAACTCACAGTCCCAATTCTCAACCCAAAGGAAAAGAGGTGATGACGCAACAAAACAGTCCCAATTTGAGATTCAGTTTTTAAAGGCTCAGAAGGTGCCATGTTTTTGTGTGTCGAAATATGTCGATAAGTACTTTAGTTTTTCTCCATCTCACTTTTACTCTGAGTACTGACGTTTGAGTTCATATACAGGTTCAACTGCAATGTAAGATGAAGCTAGAGTCTGTGCAATTTAGATCATGCAAGGCCTCACTGGAAAAAGAAGTTCTTCAGGTAATGATCACATTGGTAAAGAAAAAATTGTTTTGGAAAACTACTTAGATGTTGCATCCACTATCCAGAACTATAGCGAGACACTAATGAAAATTTTCCCCTGCATCATTAGCTTAAGAAAGAGAAAAGAAAAAATGATTATGAGGTTCAGAAGTTGCTGGCTTCAAATCTGAGACTTAAAATGGTTAGTCTATGCACTTTTCATATTTTCCCCTGTCTCTTCTTGAGGCTGATTTGAATTATTATTTTTATAGTTTTCACTTCCCCTTGAGTTGTCAGGTATTGCAACGCAAGACAGAAGAAGCTTCTGTGGCTACTAAACGGTTAAGGGAGATGATAGAATCTCGAAAGGCTATATCAAGTAGGACAGCTGGTTAGAAGAACAATACTCAGTCTCCTATTCTAGAAATTTAAAAAAAACACCCCCCCCACACACACAAAAGTTTTACCTTCTAATTGGCAATTACTTGTTTCGTTTGGTTTTCATGTAGGCGCCATGAAAGTCAATCCAAGTCAGGTATTTCACAAACCCAACAAAAATTGCCGTAATAATATTTGTATATATTATTATATTATATAAATTTGTAGCGAGCTGTAGCTTATAAACTGCGTCAGCTCTTCTTTCTGTCTGTTTGCTATTAGCCTATCTATTAGCCTATTACAGCAGAGAAACTGGTACGTGGCATAGGAAAACTATATTTTCACGTTAAACTCTTTACATCCATTTGTTTTCTGGTGAGCACTTTACGTGAGATTGTGATACTAGCCAATGTGGCACTTGCTCATGTATCCATTTCTAAGATATCTATGTTCAGTTGGATGCCACGTGGTTCATCACCTGTGTTAAGGATTGCATCAAAATTTGGCAATCCAGGACTTCTCTTGCTTCGTCCCCTTTGCAGTGCAACATTTTACTCAATTATCAACTGTGCCTTGTTTTGCCTTTTTATAGTTGAAAAAATTGACAGGAATTACTGATTATTTTGTTAAAAATTGATATATTCTGGAAATAAGTTTGGAATGTCAAGATTGTTCTCCCTCAGTGCATATATTTTCTGAATAAAACTTGTTCTTTCAACTTACTTTCCAATATTCTGTTCTGGAATTGATATCTTCCTATTAATTATTACTTGATTACTTATTTCTGAATTTAACAGCCTGCAAGATGAATCGATGATCTACAATGTACTGTTTAATTTCTAGAGGGAAAATGCTTGTGGATTATATTCTTATAGCCTTTCAATAGGGTTCGTTAGTTTGAAATGTACTCCAAAGGATTCCATAATTAATTTGTAGCAGTGGTTAGATTTGTGTCTTCGGATCCAACCTTTCATAACTTCCTTAAAGGGGTTGGTGCAGGCTACTGAACATGAGCTAGACGTCACAACACATTTACATGAATTATGTTCTCAATATGAATCCCAAATTGAAGAGTAAGCTTAAATTTCTCCTTCCGTTTCCGTCTCGTTCATGTGTTCGTTGAGTAGCATCCATTGTAAAAAAATGAATGATAAAATTTTGATACATTATATGGCAACTTGAGCATGAAATTATCAATTTCATCTTTATTTTTTTTTTTTGAGATGAATTTTAATTCAAAAAGTATATTAGTTGAAGCGTCGAGTTCTACATTATGGTGTGCTCAGGATGGCTGAAGAGATAACAAAGCTGAAAGAAGAGGCTGAGATGCAGAGGCAGGAAAAGTTAAGGTGCAAAATGGAGTTCAGTTTTCCTTCTGTAACTTACCGACATTATATATCTATAATCTATACCTTGCTCGATTTTTTCAACAACTTTCTCCATTGCTATTCAAAGGCCTCCATTGCAGCATGAAGATTGTGACAGTTTGAAGCAAGATTTAGATATTAAAGATCTAAAGGAACAAGTAAATGGCCTAGATTTTCTGCTTAGACAGTTGCGTTTACAAAAGAAGCTTAATCACAGGAATGAGATGCAGGTTTGTACCACTGACTTCACAGTAGATCTGTTAAAGGAACTAGGAACACCGAACACACATGATCCAAAGTTGAATCAAAGGATTTGTTCCATAGGTGACAATATGAATTTTGTTTATCTGAGTTTCAAAGTTTAATTACGTTGTATGCAATATCTGTTGAAGTGCAGAATCTGGTTCGGCCTCTTTTCTCTGATGGTAATCATGACAAGCTAGATGAACAAATGAAAACACCAGAAATGAACCTCTCCAGTGAAACAGAGGCGAAGATGGATGAATCTGATGGGCTATGCTGCTCATGTAGTAAAAAGTCACTGTGTAAGACCAACAAATGCAGATGCCGGTCTGCTGGAGGAAGTTGTGGAACATCATGTGGCTGTACACGCTTCAAGTGCACAAATAGAGAACTGAACCCTATGGCGGCAGATGAACCACCAAAATCAGGAAATACAGAAAATGTTAAGACAGCTTCGGCTTCGGCTATTCAAGTACACAATGGAAACATGATCGCTTCTGAAGGTGCAAAACTACTAGAGAGTGCACTTCTTGAGAAACCTGCTGCCGTTAGGGACAACCTGAGACGCAAAAAGAAGCCATTATGTGACATTCAGAACTCGCGGGTACTCTCCAATCTCCATCCTTGCCATGCTGGTTTTGCCGGTTCATTTTCTATGGGCGCTCTTTTCTTTCCGCTTTACCTTTAATTACCATTTGCATACTTGTGTTTGCTTAAACCTTGTATCTGATGGCAACCTGAATATCCTCGTGAGGAAAATATTCGTTCTCTTTATTTCAGTTGCCGCCAATTTTATGTGCGCTGACTCTCATTTCCTTCGTTTTGTTACTGTATGTCATCAGTTTTGTAACTGGTTTAGTAATCGGTGGGACAATTCATGACAGGATGACTTGAATGCTAAGATACCAGACAAGAAAAAGAATGGGAAGAAGCCTACAATTCAACTAGTTACCGAGGATCCATACTCCCTGCCAGAAAGTATCAACCACACCGATGAAGATTAAGACAGCGCACAGCCTAAAAACCTAAGGTTAAACAGGTTGGTTGGTGACGCTGGCCACATCATCCTGAAGCATACAAGATTTTTTTTTTTTTTTGGTTTTGAAATTTCCCCCTTTTAAGTTGTCGCATTGATTTTGCCGGGAACTTTGGTTTAAAGGAAATGACATTCCTTAACTGTGAGTTGAAAACGAGTATCAATGTTGGCGTGTAGTTAATCGGCACAATACGGGAATTTCCCGCTAATAAGTGTGATTGAGAGAATTTGGGGGCCTTTTGATTTGGTCACGGAATTTTCAAGTTAAATGAGTCATTGACTCATTGTTTATCTCATCCTCCATCAACGAACAGTTGTACAATAAACCATGAGACGGCTTTTTTAAGTTCACACAAAATAGAATGAGTGCCAGAATCTAGGTGATCTTATTATTTCATGGCATCGAAATACAGAATCAAGTACTGGTAGCCATAAGACTAGAGTTCGGCTGTTGACTCATCATGACTTGACACATAAGTCACGTGCCCCTTTAACCACTTCTTAACCAAAGTAAAAACTAGCTCAACAGAATGAGCTTATAGATAAACAACAAGCCCCTGTGCTAGATGTAAAAATGTTTGATTACTTTTTGTCTAACCATTGCATGAATAAATTCCCGTCTGAGATCCTGGAGCATCCAAGCAGCACAGCGCTCAAAGGCCAGGAATGATGGATCGGGTTTCTCCCACTCATTTATGAATAATGATGAGTTCTTTCTACATCTTCAAAAGCAAAGACAATACTAGTGCTTTCCATGCAGCATCATGATTACACAACATAGATTTCAAGATATCCTCATACTACCTATGTGTTGCATTCTTAACCATGGAGAATATAATATTGTATGTTTTTTAATATCTTATAAGTCAACAAAGGCCCCCACAGTGGGGAGAAATTCATGATGATCATCACCACCTTCATCGGATTTCAAGCTTTGTTACCCAATAATTTAGTTGGCTGGCTACGCATGCTGACCCAGTGGAACCATAGGAGCTAAACTTTTTGATTGCATTTTCTACCCCAAGAAATTCATATACATCCTCATCAAAAACTATGCTTATACTCCTCAGCTCATCAAGACTCAGGTCCTGAAGCTGGCATTTCTTTGACACGCACAAGGCAACGGCTCTTCCTACAATATCATGAGATGTCCTGAATGGGACTTCCTGTATGTCAAAACAAAGGGGGTAAGAATCTGGAGCGAATCTGCAGACTTAGGAAGTAAAAAGTAAACGGAATTATATAAATGTGGAAAACAGTTAGTCATAATTAAGACCTGAAGTTTTTATACACGAGTCTGAGTTGTGTTAATTTAGAAAACGTGGTCACAAATGTATCGTGCATTACTAATCAGAAAATCGCGTTATGCATGCTTGTTAAAAATGGATTTCAGTTGCTGGATGGAAAAGAGGGAGGACAGGCTTCCCCTCTGATCCTCCTCCGATGGGAGTAATGACTGGACAAAGACAGCTGGCAGTAGGTAATGTGGATTGAATTTCAGATAGGGTTCAAATTTGAGCAGGGAGTCAGGGACAATATTATGCCTCTTGCTTTTGATATTTTACCAGGTGGCCTACCATGCACGTTTCAGTCCCACGAATTTCAATAATTTCTACGGAATACCAATTTAAATTTCACAAATCACAAATGACCAAGCAGTAAACGTGACTTACCTTCTTAACAAGATAGTCAGCAAGTGTTGTTGCATCAAGATGACCGGCAGGTAAAGCCTTTTGTATTCTCTCTTGATTGAATGAGATATTCTGTGAAAACTCAGCTGATACCTCAAGCATACCCAGTATAGTTTTAACACTGTCAAATACAGGTTCTTTGTCTTCCTGTATCCAAAAAGAAAAGGCTTTTTGTAAGGGGTTAAAAACAAACAAATGACTGTGGGTAAATTCATGCAATCAAGGGGGATACTATTATGTTTTTAGCAAACTGGCACATCAGACTACCTCCTCAGCAAATAATGCAGCGTGCAAGAAACCAGGGTATATGACATCTCAAAGTAGAAGATGCAAATAAGCTATTTTTCTTCCTTCAAATATATAAAGTTCAGTACCTGCAGATCACGATTATAAGCATGTGGAAGCCCTTTGCATAGAGTGAGAAGAGTAACCAAGTCTCCCACGACTCTGGCAGACTTCCCACGCACAAGTTCCATTGGATCTGGGTTCTTTTTCTGAGGCATGATACTACTTCCAGTTGAAACAGAGTCACTTGGTGTGATAAATCCAAACTCCTCAGAAGCCCACAGTACCCATTCTTCACCAAGTCGAGAAAGATGAACTGCTGTGATGGCATTGGCAGAAAGGAACTCCAATACAAAATCCCGGTCTGAAACAGCATCAATACTACATAAAATTAAAACATGACATCAGTTAGAAAAGAAAACTGGATTCATATACGGGCAGAATACCAAGTAGCAATGGCATGCTTTTAAAATGAAGCAGCTGATATGGTAGAAGATGAGAAAAAGAGAAACAGAGGAGTGAAAGAGAAGGAAAGAGGGAGAAAGAAGAGAAAACAGAGGGGGGGGGGAGAGAAAGGGAAACAGGGAATAGGGAGAACTAAACTATGTTTCTGTATTTTCAATTTAGCACACATCACCTCACCTTTAAGATCCCCTTATATAGGCTCTTTTACTAAGTATCTTGTTGAGTCCTAACTACTAACCTCCTAAGTAACTAAAATAGTAAAACTATTCAATCTTTATTCCTTTATATATCAGCAACATACCTATTTCTCAATGGAGCTGTAAATCCTAAAGCATCTGAGGTCATGAATCGATCAATCGGGAGACCAGTACCAGCCAATGCACAAGCCCCTAATGGGCAGAAATTCATCCTAGTCCTACAATCTGCTAAACGACCAGCATCGCGATCAAGCTGCAAGAATACAATACATCTACAGTTAATGGTTAGATGCCAAATAATGAAAAGTCAACATTGTTCAAAGTTAAGATAAGAATAAGCTTCTGAAGCAAATCCATAGATTTGAAATTTATATTCCGAAGCATGTAATGGATCTTTTAAGATTGAAAAATTAACAGAAAAGCCTAAGCAAATGAAGGCATTTCTGTTGTAATGAGAATGCATTAACCCCACTACAGAATTCCAGATTTTCTCATACTTGGCTCAAGATACCAGCACGTCAACCTTCCTAAACTCACCGTTCCTTTACATTTTCTAAGGGCTGAAATTATTATCATGCAGGTTGCAAATGCTGCCTGGGCAGCCTTTTCTCCTCTTTTCCTAATCAACAGTACACATTTTATAAATGTTGTTTTGGCCACCAAAATGAGTAAAATGATAGTAGTTTTCATAACGAAGGCAAGGCCAGAAGTACCAGATCTTGGACATACGAGAAATCTTGTCATTCACATAATCTGAAGGTGGTAAGACACAGTAATTTTATCAATTTCTCTGCCGTGGAATATGGTCCATATTTAGCAGCATACCTCCTCAACATAAGCAAGTAGAAGATGCTGAAGCAAAACTGGCTGGGCACGCTGCAGATGAGTGTAACCAGGCACAATAAGCCCTTCGTTTTTCAAAGACAAGTTCACCAGTGAGGTCTGGAGGTGTCTTATGAATGTGATGATGTTATCAACGGCATCACGACACCAAAGGCGAAAGTCAGTCAAAACTTGATCATTTCGGCTCCGGGCAGTGTGCAGCTTCTTTGCAGGCTCCCCGATCATATCAGTAAGTGCCGCTTCGATGTTCATATGGACATCCTCACGGTCAGTCCTCCAATTGAACTCGCCATTTTCTATGCGCCTCTCTATCTCATCAAGACCTTCAACAATCCGATCCCTATCACTCATGCTAATCAGTCCCTGGACAACAATGACGTATCACTCAATATACCTAATCTCAATTCCACTTTGTTTTTGTTTGGCCCCGGTGCAGAAGACATTTAAAAAGTGAACAATGGAATGTATTGGCCAAGTTAAAAGAAGTTCAAACTTCATTTGAAGATCATTCTGATTCAGCGAATGCAGTGATCATGCATCGTCATAAAGAATGCAATTTCCCTCTTTTTTGAGGGGGAGGGGAAGAATAGAAGATGAGTAGAAAGCGAAGATAATACCAGAAGGGTCAATCTTATCATTCCCCAAAAAATAAAGAAGCGTATAAGATTACCTGATGAGCTAGCATTGCCGCGTGTGCCTTACTTCCCATGATATCATGTTTGTATAGCTGCTTATCGTATGAGATCGACTCAGTGAATCTCTCGACGGCATCGGTGACACTGTCCTCGAATCGGCCACCCCATAGCTTAGCTTCCTTTGGCTTGGTGAGTTCGACCTGAGGTGCATTCTCTGATGCACAGATACCCTTCATTCTAGTGCAAAATGGAAAGTGAGGTCGAATTCTGGAAACAGAGGAGCCGAAGAAGGAGGACGCTAGAGAAGTAAAAGTGAAGCTTGAAGACAAAACAGTGGCGGATTCCATGACTGCCGTTTCAAGTTGAGTTGAGAAGGGTTTTAACTTTCAATTGGGAAAGGTTTTCGAAGCGTCACGCACTAACGCCCAGCCTATTCCCAAATCCCACTGCGATTAAGGGCAATGGGGGCAATGGGGGGTTAAAAAAGAGGTTAATTTTTTTAATACTCCGTATTTTAAAATAATCTCAAATGAATAATTAATAAAAAATAAATATGTACAATTAATATCCATAGAATAGATTACGATGATTCATTTAATACACGATAATATGAAAATATTAAACTAAAAAAATTGTGATGTCACAACACCACGCATTTAATTTTTCTAAAATTAAAAATTAAATTAAAATATTATGTTGCAACAAAAAAATTTAGGAAAATATTTTGGATAAACTTTTTTTAAAAAAGAAGGATAGTCTGCAAAATATAAACAGGTTCGACAGTTCATAGCACGTAACAGAGGCGTTAAGCATCCCTTAAGTGTTAACAGTGATTACCTTAAGATGGTCGTGCAAGATTAATACTTTTAAAATTATTTTAATTATCCTTTTGTCATTAACATAAAATAAAGATACAACAAAATAAAAAAAAACGATCATTTATTTACAAACGATGATTTGACTTGAGATAAAAACTTAAAACTGAGCTAATTTGAGCACATATATATATATGCTAAAAGTTGCTGTATTTATTATTTTTATTACCTATTAAAAAAATTGCTCATAAAAATTTCACCGACAAATTAATTGTTGAAAAGGTGTTGGAAAATTTTGAAAAATGAGATCTTTTGTTAACAATATTATATAAAGTTAAAAGATCAAAAATCTTTGATAAATGAGATTTGAAAATAAAAAAATGTTTGACCAACAAAGAGTTTGGCAGGCTATTGGAACTCTCAAAGGACGAACAAAGAAGATAAAGAACAGGTAGCACCAACGGTTTGTTAACTTGTCAGCGACTTGAGGTGCACTCAAGTGATACCTAAGTAACATTGATAATGACATTGGAGTTTCGGTTGCTTTGTATTAGAGGTGCGTTATTCAACATTCTTAATTTTTGTTTCTCAACTTATTTAATTTATTTTCAAGTTTCTGTTATGATTTGTGGTAATTTTATCTCATGACTAGTAAGTTATAATTAATTTTTGACAATTTTAAAATAGGTTGTGAACTTTGGATAGTTTGGGTGGGAAGAAAAAATGGTAAAGGGGAAGGGGAAGGAGATCAAAGAAGGGGAATGGTCAATGGTTAATAGTTTACATAAGTTTAAGCAAGAGTTCTAATTAGATAAGAAAGGGAAAGGCAAGTTCAAATGAATTCAAGAGGTTGATAAAGTTGCAAGAGAAACATGAAAGAACTTGTCTGAAGAAAAAAGGAGCGAGTATGCTAGAGTGAAAAAAGAGGAAAAAGAGGGGACATGAGGTACTTCTTCAACCAAAGGAGGTGAAACACTGGCAAAATGCTTGCTAAAACATTTTTTAAAAGTGGTAGAGCATGTGAGGAATAATGCAAAATTGAGAGAAAAGGTTGAAAAAAATTGAGTTTGGTAGGATGTTAGATGTTAGGTGCACAGTAAGACAATGAGTGAGTATAATATACTTGAAATATATATATATATATATATATGTAGGTTCTGAACTTCATAATGGTTGATGCCTTTACTTCATGTAAGTGAGATTGTAGGATACATGTCATATCATGATTGCAAAGATAGCAAAATGAGAAGAGTGTAGATTAAGACAATAATACAATGCTTACAACAATGTGATGCTTACATGACATGGTAATGTTTCTCTCAAGTTGAGTGTTGTGGTATGATTAAAGTAAATAAATGTTTTGCAGAAGGAAATGGCAAAAGAAAAGGATAGAATTGGTTTGGTCGCTAGTCACAGATGAGAAAAATATATTGTAGAAAAAGATACTAGCATTCATATCATTTGGTCAACAATCAAAGAAAGGAAACAATTAGGAGTACAATTATGATGAATTTTTTTATGTACGTTCATTTCCATGAACTTGTTTCCATTTGTTAAGAAAGTATGATTATGTACATTGTATTCAAAGTTTAGAAAATGAAAATCTATTTTAGGTGTCATTATAGCAATTTTCAGATATCAATTATTATTATCATGAACATTACATACATGCTTATATATATATACATATACATATATATATATATATATATATTCAAATATCCTTTATGGTTGTCATAAAAACATGTGTTACAGAGGCTCTTAAGCATGTTGTTTAGGATATCATGAAAACGAATATCTTTTTTCACTTCATTGTCTTCAGGGTTCCATTTTATTTGAATATCCCTTATCGATATCCTAAAAATTAAGTTAAAGACCCTTATTTTTTAGGATATCCTAAATAGTTGTCATGAAAATTGTGTGTTAGAAGATTTTCATTCTCCAAATGATTTTCATAGAAAGCTTATGCACATGCTCATAGATTATTGCATCCCATTGAAGATATTTGCATATATAAGAAGACTAGTTGCTTATCTTTGAAGGCATATGCACCCATAAGGAAATGCACCTTTATGGTAGATCAATTGTATATAAGAATATATTACATACATATATGAAAGAATATTGCACATGATGGGAGCCAACTGTATCCAAGGGAGGCTTTTTACACATATGTGGTAACTTTCTCCATTATTGGATGAGTATTGCGTCCCTTTGAAGTTACCTACATATATTGGAAGACTAATTCCATCTCTTCGAAGGCATCTACACCCGTGAGGAAATGCACCTTTATGGCAAATCAATTGTATAAAAGGATAGATTACATGTATATATGGAATAATAATGCACGTGATGGGAAACTGCATCTGAGGGAGGCTTTTTGCATATGTGTGGATACTTTCTCTATTATCGGAAGAATATTGCATCTCATTAAAGTTACCTAAATTTATTGGAAGACTAGCTGTATCTCATTAAAGGCATTTACACTTGTGAGGAAATGTACCTTCAAGGTAGATCAATTGTATATAAGGACACATTACATGCATATATGGAAAAATAGTGCACATAGGAGCCAATTGCATCCAAGGGAGGCTTTTTGCATATGTGTGGTAACTTTTTCTATCATCGAACAAGTATTGTATCCCTTTAAAGCTATTTGCATCTATTGGAAGGCTAGTTGCATCTCATTGAAAGCATCTGCGCTCATGAGGAAATGCATCTTCAAGGTAGATCAATTACATAGAAGGATAGATTACATGCATATATGAAAGAATATAGCAAATGATAGGAGTCTATTGCATGTCAGGGAGATTTTTTACATATGCGTGGATGCTTTCTTTGTCATCGAAAGAGTATTGCATCTCATTAAAGTTACCTATATTTATTAGAAGACTAGTTGCATCTCATTGAAGGCATCTATACTCATGAGGAAATGCACCTTCAAGGCAGATCAATTATATGTAAGGACAGATTACATGCACATATGAAATAATAGAGCATATGATGGGAATCGATTGCATATTAAGGAGACTTTTTACATATGTGTGAATACTTGTACATGTTGTTAAAGGGGGAAGAATGTTGTATATAGTGGAAGACACATTACATCCCACATATGGCCTATGTGACATCATTTTTTAGGCTATCATGATTGTATATTTGAAGAGGAAGCACATGAGTTTGAAAAGCCTCTAAAATATATTTTTTTAATGAAAATTGGAAGGAATATCATGACAAATAAAGATATCAAATGTTACATAGCCTTTGTGAACTAATAGTTTCAAATTATGTGGAAGGGATATCATGAAAAATGAGGGTTCTAGATGTTACACAACCTTTGTGAGCAAATGTTTTCAGGATATAAGAAGAGATATCGTGACAAATGAGAGTGCTGAATGTTATAGAGTCTTTGTTAGCTCAATTTTTAGGATATATAGAATGGATATTTGAATAAATTAAGAGTTGGTTATGAGAAAATTCTTTAACATATAACATTTTTTTATGAAAAACAATTGTTATGTCCTGAAAAATAGTTATGACATGTAGGCATAAGGTTTGGACACAATTGTACTATAGCAAAATATAATATCATTCTTTCATATCACTAATATTGTTATCATTTATAATGATTAACAACAAAATATGTAGCAGATGCCAACACCCATTCCAATATTGTTCCATTTATAATCATTTAGGACAAAATATGTAATAGATCCTCTGACATCTATTTCAAAAAAATAACATAGGTGATCATTTACAACTTAATAGATATGCAATTTGTTTATGCCCATGATCTAAAAAATAGGGCTCACAACTTAAAACATGTAAGATTACTTAAGACTTACTTAGATTTCTGCTAATGCCTCTTTTCCTTTCCATGCTTAGTCATATGACAATGAAGACCATAATCCTTATATAAGTCATGCCTTATCTCATTTGGTGTTTTATCTAATGAGCACCTCAAAGCAACTTTAATGACAGATGAAGTCAAAGTAGATGTAAATTTCCTACGAATTAAGAGATTGTCCTGGGCTAAGTGAATGCACTCATTAATGAAAGTATGCACATACAAGAAGCCTGGTTCTTGCATTGAATAATTAGTTATCTTTCATAGACAACTATTAATAATGCACTTCACTATCATACTACTTGCCTTATTCTTTACATACTTGTACGCAAACTTGTGTGCCAAACTATACTTGTACAATGAATCCTTCAATTCACCTTCTTGAAGATTTAATTAGATCCCAACAGTAAATCCTTCTACTTTGGCCTACCATACTCAGGGAAGGGAGTAATTGCACTTTCAGTTTAATAAGGCAACTCTTGATTGGCCTTAGTTGATGAAGATTCAACTATTGATAATTTAAGTGAGAATTCTAAAGATTCTAACCCTTGTGAGATTACTATAAGTTCCACTTTAGATCTATACTCATTTGTATATTCTATTATATACATATGTACACATTTTTCATTAAAATCAATTAGTTGTTGTACTCCTTTATCATCTTTCGAATCTACAAGTGTAGTTTCATCTAACTGCAGCAATATGCACTTCAATTTAGTCCTTTAATTCTAGACCCAAGATGTAGAGATATTCTTTTTCGTAGCTCATCAGTACCTCTACTTACTACCCTTCTATTTGCTTTACTACCAACACATTGCAACCTTCCTTCATTAATAATAATCTTTCCCCTTATATGGAAGAAATAAAATATTTCTTTTTCTTCCTTGCTTATGAAGATGATATAGACACCTACAACTATCAAGATAGCAAGAAATAACCATTATCAGTGAAATTCAGCAGGAGATTAATAGTGAATTGTTTTATTATATTTTACATAATGCAATGCCAACCTCTGAATTTATGGCGATATTTGCTTATGGGAGAAGTAGGTGATAGAGCAACAACTTCATTCAACCTCTTTTAAGCTTTTTAAGTAACGATTTGAAACTCAGGCAACAAAAGTCACTAAAACTTAGTGTGCGTTTAGTTTTTAGTTTGCCAAAAGTTCATTTGGTGAAAGTTCATTTGGTGAAAGTCAGTTTAATGAAAGTCAGTTGTTGTAACGAAATTTGTGTTTGGATATATTTTTTCAAAAGTCAGTTTGATACATTGAAAATTGTTTGGTTTGTGATAGTGAGATGTGCTTTTGAATGTACAATTATCAAAAAGGACATTAATTTATAATGATTTATAATTTTTATTATACAAATGTAATATATTCAAAATATTTAAAAAATGTAATAAAGATTATAAATAACATAAATTTTGATCTATAATGCTAAAAATTTGATCTCTAATTATTTGTATTTTTTAATTTGTAATTTTAAAAGATGTAATAAAGATTTGTAATTTTTATTATACATTAATGCTAAAAATTAACATGATTAATTACTCAATTTATAATACTAAAAAAATTGATACCTAATTATTATTATTAAAATAATAATTATATTTTTAATGAATTAATTATTTTTTAAATAAAAAAAGAGATTAAACTTAGGGTAATATGGTCAAATAACATCCTACTTTTTAAATTTACTTTTCAAAAGTTTCAAATAGTTACGTTTCAGAAATTCACTTTCAACTACTGTTTGAATGTACTTTCAGGATGTGCTTTTCTGCCAAATATTCTACCCAAACAACTTTCAACTTTCTGAAAGTGAAATTTTGCTTTCTGAACGTGAAACGGAGGAAAACCAAACGGACCTTAGAGCTACAAAGGAGAAAAAAAACTAAAAATGTCACACCAATTTACAATAATCATTGAATATTAAGGAAATTAACCTAACAAAGTCACAAATTTGGTTGGGCACAACTATGAAAGCTTCACAGCAATGGGTTATAGGAAAGAGCTCGCTCGTGAAGATAGGAATTGAGCACTTCGCTCATGAAGATAGGAATTGAGCACTTACAATTTTCATTTTACTTCATTGAAAATATTTGGGTCATTTTCTACTTCTATTTTATGTCACCTAAGGATCTCATCCTTCAAAACTTTTCAAGGCCTTTTGAGTACTTAATTTGATAGTAAAGTTTTTTTTTTTGAACAATTTTTTTTTACTTATTATAAAATTTTTTTACATCTTTTTAGAAGCCACTTTAACCTCTAGATCTATGCACGGAGCTTCAGTATTTCTCTCTCTTGCATTGGTTTTTGTTAGAAAGATTGCAAAGTATGGGTGGCTCCATTTGATTTGTTGCACCTTCCTATGCGTCCAGGAAATATGATTCAGTCTCTAACGATGAGAGCACCTGTGCACATAAATGATATCATGCACCAATGGCCAATCACATTCTAAAATTTTTTACACCACAAATTATTTAAATATTTTAATCTTTTTTTCAAACTGTATTCAGAAATAATTTCATAATATTATTTGAGAAGTAATCAAAGAAATAAACAAAATGACAAAAAAAAAACCAAAAACATTTTTCTGCCACAACTTTGAAAGCATTTTTTTTTCTATATTTTTTTAGGAGCGTTAAGCATTATATATTAATAAGTAAAATATTTTTTAAAGGAGCAAAAATTTTTCTTTATTGGTGATCTATTAACTCTATTGTTTTTGGTTAATGTGGCATGTCTTTTGATATTAATTTTGTCCTTAAACTCTTTTTTATGAGTGTTAGGCACCTTAAAATTATGTTAAAATAAAATTTAATAAATATTATTAAAATATTTAATATTTATTGAGAAAATGATATTCTAAAAAAATTAATATTAATTAAGTCTCCTAAATTTTTGATGTCATTCTTTATAAATTTTTTAATTAACTAACAATCAAATTAATTGATATTTAAAACTAAAGTGTCACTTATTTTTAATTAATATTTTCATATAATGTAATATGTTTTTAATTTTAAATTAAAAATGAGTTGCCAAAACAACATTAATTTTATTTTTTTATTTGGAGGTTCATTCCTTCTTTTTTAATATAAAGTTGTAAAATATCAAAATATTAAATTTAGATAGTGTAATTTTTTGAAAGAAAATTATTACTTGATCAAAAAATTATAAAGAATGATCTAAAATATTTAAAGGACTTAATCATTATTAATTTTCTTATAAGATTATTTTCTATAATTTATTTAAAAATATTACTGTTATTAATTATTGTTAGGGTCAAATTGTATTTTTCTTATTTATATATTTTTCTTCAAAGATGCTGGCCACTTCATACTAATAAATAAGGCATTTTTTCTCTAAACTATTTTCTAGAGTCTGTTAGTGATCCATCAGCGAAGAGGGATTTTTATTCTTCTAAAAAGTAGTTAAGAAAAAGTCTCATTTATTAGTATTGAATACTTAGTGCTCTTCAAAGGAAAATATAGAGGACAAAATGCCCATTTATCCAAATTAATTTGATATGGCCTATTTTGGCAAGTCATTTTAACACAGCTATTTTATTTTATTTTACGAGAAGATATCTTTTTTGTTTTTTAATCGGATTTTTCTGCGAGAGCATTGTTAGTTTAACAACCATATCAGAAGTCAGTTTTTTTTTAACTAAGAAAAGTGTTTTTTTGGGTCTTCTTGGTAATGTAAAATATATAATTAGCAATGACCCTCAATCAAAATGGTAACGGCCTCCCTCCACCTTGACCGAAATAATATTGTACCTAGCATAAAAAATAAATTGAATTGCATAAATTACGAAACTTGTTTTGAAAAAAACGAACAGAGAAGGTTAAGATACGAACCAATAATTCCATTTGTGGCACGTCCTCAGCTCCCTTCTCCGTAAACCAAAAGTTGAGCTCTTCAAAGGGTCCATCACCTTACATCTGTACCAGTGGTTGTAGCGAAGTATCCTCCTCTCCACCTTTGCCTCATAAGAATGCATTCTCACTAACCATCGTTTCTCTTTTCGTCAGTTTTTTCTTTAACCACAATTTTCACAAAAATCGTAGCGTCTCACTCATCTCAACCATTTTTCTGTGCCATAATTTGCTTATCTATATAACCACGGTTGATCTTATTCGTCGTCAGCGTCGATGGGCTGCATGTGTTTGATTCTTATATTTTAGAAAGATTAAGATGTTACAAAGGGCAGCGACCAATGCTTATTCGTGGTGGTGGGCAAGCCATGTCAGGACAAAGCAGTCAAAATGGCTGGAATACAGTCTCCAAGGTATGCCTTAGAGCACTTTTCTGGCGATTTGAGCATGATCTGCATTTCTGATCTATCTGCTTGATATCCCTGATCATATAGAAATTATGGAGATTTTTGTCAAATGGCTTTCTGATGCATACCAACGTACATGTATATAACTTGCATTTCTTTTCACATTCACTGTCAATCAAAATTCGCAATATATTGTGGTTGAATAAGTAAAATATATAATATAGAGTAAATTGATGGTTCTAGAGATTCGAAACAAAAAAGATTTGATCTATGAAATTCTCAATGAATGATGAAACCGAGAGTGTTGTGGTTTTACATTTATTTTGGTTCAGTTTGAATAAAATTTTTACTGTTACTAATACTGAAAACGCAAATGACAGAAATGGAGGAGAAGGTGGTGGAGACCCTCAAAATCCTTGATGATGAAGGGGACTCATTTGCAAAGAGGGCAGAAATGTACTACCGGAAGAGACCAGAGCTCATAAGCTTTGTGGAAGAATCATTTCGGGCTTACAAATCACTAGCCGAGAAGTATGATCATCTGTCAAGAGAGCTCCAAAGTGCCAACCGCACTATTGCCTCTTGCTTCCCAGAACGAGTTCATCGGTATCCCTTGGATGAAGACGAAGATGAAGAAGAAAGCCCAGGAACATCTTCAACTAATGACCTTGACAATCCAGAAACACCTAAATCAAGCATTCCTAAAGTTCCCAAGATTCCCAAGAGAGATCTTAGATGCCAATCTATGTTAATCTCTCGGAAGAGACCACTGAGAAGGAATTCCAGCACTGCAAAACCCGTTACTACTACTCCAAATTCAGGGCCGAGCAAGGCCGTAGCACTTGCAGAAATTGACAAGCTTCAGAAGGAAATTCTGGCTCTGCAAACTGAGAAAGAGTTTGTGAGGAGCTTGTATGAACGGGCCTATGAAAAGCACTGGGAGATTGAAGACCAGATCGAGGCAATGCAGAAAAGAGTTTGTTGCTTGCAGGATGTGTGTGGGGTTGGCACAGTGATTGAAGATAATGATGCAAGAACTTTAATGGCAGCCACAGCTTTAAGATCGTGCCAGGAGACCTTGGCGAAATTGCAAGAGATACAAGCAAAATCGTCTGAAGAAGCTAAAGTAGAATATGAAAGGGTCAGGCAAGCTCACGAGAAGTTTGAAGCGCTCAGAGATCAATATATTTCTAAGCATATGAGTCACCAAGACCCAGACGCAGATGTAGGAGACAAATCTGAGACAGGAGGAGAAGAACAGACAAACAAAGAAGAGAAAGCTAGCTTGAAACAGGAGGCGCAAGATGTGAATCAATTGAGAGAGAAGATTAAGGAACAACTTGAGGAAGATTCTAGTAGGTCTCTCTGTGTGGCAGAAATGGCAGAGAGGATTGATGAACTCGTGGAAAAAGTTGTCTCCTTGGAAACCGCAATTTCCTCTCAGACTGGCTTGGTAAAGAGACTGAGATCAGAAACAGATGATCTTCAGACAAATATAAAGAGCTTGGAAGAGGACAATGAAATGCTGAAAGAAGGTTCAGACAAAATGAACAAGAAGCTGAAAGAACTGGAGGAGGAGCTAAGGAGAGTAAAAAATCTCAATCAAAACGTCAAAAACCGAAACAATAGCCTCCAAACACACTTCACAGAAGCCAGTTGTAATCTTGAGCATCTTTCCGAAAGATTGCATGATATGAAGTTAGAAGACAAGACAGACAACTCATTACATCATAAGACGATGAATTCTGCTGATGTTAAAATAGCAAATGAGGAGAAGCAAGAGGATGCTGCAAATCCAAGCGAGGATGTCAAAAATGAAGACATGGTGTCCAGTTCGTGCGAAAATATGAATTTTATTTCTGAAAGGATAAAAAAACTTAGACGTCAGGAGAACGATGATTTATCTGAGACATTGAGTAACAAAGACATAGAACCGCAGGATTTTCGTGGTGGTGAGGAAGACGAACCAAACTGGAGACAGATGTTTATCAGTGGGTTGGATGATAGAGAGAAGATTCTCTTGGAAGAGTACACATCAACTTTAAGGAACTACAAGGATGTAAGGATGAAGCTCGATGATGTCGAGAAGAAAAACCGAGACGGCATTTTCGAGTTGGCACTTCAGGTAAGGGAATTGAGAAGTGCTCTAGCCACTAAGGATAAAGAAATCAACCTTTTACAACACAGGCTAGTCTGTCCAGAAACAAATTCATGTGAAAGTCCATATACAGCTGCCACGGAATATAAATATACACCACTAGAAGAGCTTCTTCCAAGCGACTCTGAAATTTCGTCATTAAATTTGGATGCAAATCCAGGAAGAACATCTTTTATTGACCTGATTGAAAGCAGAAGAGATATTGGGAAATCGTCTGAAAGCATAAAATCGCCTGAGGACGTAGAAAAGTTCAGGGCAAATCAGGTTTCCAAGCGCCATCCTCTTTCAACTCTGGAAAAGAAATTCCGCTCTGACATCGACGATCTACTTGAGGAGAATCTAGAGTTTTGGTTAAGGTTTAGCACCTCACTTCATCAGATTCAAAAGTTCCAGAACTCTATACAGGACCTACAGGCAGAGCTAGAGAAAGTCAAGGATCACAACAATAAGAATTCAAACTCCAAGCAGCCATCCTCACAATCTGAAATCCGACCAATTTTCAGACACATGAGAGAGATCAGAACTGAATTATCACTTTGGCTTGAAAATAACTCAGCATTGCAGGACGAATTGCACGGTAGATATTCATCCTTGTGCAACATTCAAGACGAAATATCAAGAGCCGCCATTGCAGATTCAGAGTTGAGTAGGTATCAGGCAGCAAAATTTCAAGGTGAGGTTCTCCATATGAAACAGGAGAACAATAAGGTTGCTAGTGAACTGCAAGCTGGTTTGAGTCTTGTGAAGAGGCTGAAAGTTGAAGTTGACAAGACACTTGAAGAAGTGGACCAAGCATTTGAAGTTAGCACTCACTCCCCGATCAAGCAATCATCGTCAAGTCGTAATCGAATACCTTTGAGATCATTTTTGTTCGGAGCTAAGATAAAGAAGCAGAGGCAATCGCTTTTCGCGTGCGTGAATCCAGATTTTAGTAATCTAGAAGCAACTAATGAAAATGCGCCCGTATAAACGCACTTCCAACCCCTTCTCCTTGAGTACTTTACTCGAGGTTGCTTTTCCTCCTCGTTTCTGATTGTGATCCCTAAAAGAACGTCAAAGTTATTGATGTGTTCCACACAAGCGTTGGTTTCTTCTTAACTGTAGTTCTAGGTTTATTATTCCCATATCACAGCGATTCTTTCTTAAGTTTGACGGGCACGAGTGTTGGAAGAATGTGTGTAATGTGTGTGTTCTCTTACGTGAAGATAGTCATCTATCTATATAATATGTATATATCTGTCTATAAAAGCTACAAGAAGTTATACATTTATATCCCTTGAATAACAGCCATTTATATGCCGATTTTTATTTTTATTTTAAATTATTATAGGAGACTTCTTTTAGTTAGTCAAAAAAATCTTTCTAAGTAGACGAAAAGAAAGAAAAATATTACGAAGTACAAATACTTGAAAGAAAATTACAAAGTATAGCTGCTTCAATCTAAAGGTTGGCAGCTTAATCTTTAGCCATTTGGTCGGCATATAAGGTAGCGTCACATGGGGAATTTATCACCGTGAAGTGGGTCTTATTGACTAAATTTGAACGAATCTAGGGAATCTCTCCGATAAAGGGATGATCAAGTGATTTGCCCCTGGTAATTAAATTAATTGCTCCCAGTGAATCAAAGTGAATTTGGATCTTTCCTAAATTAAGCATGGTACTCACAGCTAGAAGGTGTGCAATTGTTATAGGTACTTGACCAGATTTAACTTTGAACCCAGCTATCCACACACTAGTTAAGTCCTTAATAACACCACCACACACAGCTTGGGAGTTCTACAGAAGAACTGATGCATCCATATCCGCACAGGAAGTACCTTAGTTAGGAGGATTCCACTTATCTTCTTGAATGATCAAGCTTTGTGGGGCAAATTCCTTGAGAAGGCCAAGGTTCTTTTCTTCCAGAAGTTGATGTTGACATAGAAAAACAGTGTTTCGAGCACAGGGGTGATAATCCTCAAAATTCTTTGACATCGACTTGTCCACAGAAGCCAACAAATAAGGCAAAATATCCTGATCCATGGATAGGTGTGCCGTCAATTGGATCTTGCTTTGTGACAAGCATTTCATTTGAGCCATTCATGTAACTTGCAAGAGAAAAATAATAATATAGTGTTAATAATAGCCTCCCAGGCCTCTATAGCTGTTTGGCAGTCCCTCAGTGTATGAAGAGTAGTCTCATCACTCTTACATTCAAAAGGACAAGATGCACTCGACACAAGACCTCTTTGGACTCTAAGAGAATTAGAAGGAAGCCCCTCATGAATAACTTGTTAGAAAAAAACATTTTAACTTCTCCGAAATAGTCCACTTCCACAAACCTTTCCAAAGACCTTCAACTCGCTGATCGGTCTTTGTATGAAGGAACTTGTAAGCAAAACTAACAACAAACTGTCCATCATTTAATGGTCTCTACCAAAAAGTATCTTCTTTATTAGTGATAGATGGTCTTATTTTGACAAGTATCCCAACATTTTCCTCAGAAAGACACTAGCTAGTTTTAAATCATCCCATTTCCCATCAAGAATAATAAATTTGTTCACCTTAGCTTGAGAATTAAAATGATCTTTGTCAGTCCTAGCAAAATGAATAAGAGGTTGATTGGTCAAAGATCAAACATCCCACCAAAAACTTGTAGAGCAACCATTGTTAACTTTTTTACTAACCCCTTGAAGAAAGAGATCCCACAAGTTAGTAACACTGTTCCAAACATGAGAGTTCATTCTTCTCTTGATCACCATAGGCATAATGCTTTCAGCATAGCCATGTTTAGTTTTGAGATACTTGACCTAGAGTGCAAGACTAATTTTTTTCTCTACTGTCTGTCTTTAAATGTCATTAATCCAATTAGCAAAATCAATATTCCAAGATCTATAGGTGTCGATATGAACAGCTCGATGGAGTCTCTGGATGGTAATTTCTTTGTTACTTTGGCTTATGCGTTCCTATAGACGTTAGAAATTAACTAGGCTGAATCTAAGTGGGTAAATTTCTGGAGATGGCCATTTCCTAAGAAAATCAAAACTTTCTTTTAGCAAGTGTCCCATGAGAGACTTTCCTCAAATTCCCTTAAAGCTAAGAGAGGCATCACGACAAATGAATTCTACCCCTTTAAGTGTGGGAATAAGGAAGATATTATACACATACTTTGAGATTGTGAGAGAGCGAAGGCTGTGTGGTACCACCTGTTATGTCCTAATTCACTTCACAGTTTCTTTTTTGGTAATTTGCAGGTTTGGCTTAAATAGAATTCAACATATAACCCTAGAAGACAATTCTGGCAACAATGGCCATGGGTTAAAACTTTTAGTATGATTTGCTGGACCCTTTAGACAATTAAATGTAAAAAGACTTTGGACAGAGACCTTCTTCAACAAATGAAATTATCCAAGCAACAATTTCACAACTTATGGAGGAGTCAACAAATGGAAAATACAAGCACAAGATTTTTTATCCTTTGATGAGCTCTCGAATTGAATGGAGTCCACCACCTCAAGATTATGTTCAAGTTGACATGGATGCATCTATATCTAGTGGCCAACAGGCAGCATGTGGAGGTGTCATCAGTAACTCTAGTGGTAAGTGGATTTGTGATTTTCAAAAGGACTTAAGCCAAATGAGTATTAACACTGTTGAAATTATAGCAATTAGAACAAGACTAGAAGCATGCAAGATGTTGAGATTCTTGAGAATCAAGCTTTATATCGATTTTCTTGAAGCCATTAATATTCTGATGAGAGATGCTGGTTCGGGAAATACTTTCAAAAATAAGCTAGAACAGACTAAAAAATTAATCTTTTCAAATTGAGATGTCCAAATTTCTCATGTTTAGAGGGAAAGTTTGAAGTTGGTTGATAGACTAGCCAAGAATGCTCATGGTGTGGGGAAAGACATTGTTCTCCTCCAAAATATGCTTACTTATTGTAATAGCTTTATATGATCTGTATCATTAGAGTATTTAGGTTACTAGTATCCAATATGTGTATTTTAGTGAAGCTTCCTTTAGAACATTTGCTTGCCTATTGTAATAATAATATATAAAAAAAAAAGTAACTTTTCTACCGTGAGGAATTGTTTCATTTATCCTATTTCAATAAATGTTAACTATTTTTAAATTAATATCATCTTTTATATTTACTTTTATTTAACAAAATATTTTACTTAAAAATAAATATAGAATAATTTATTTATTAATGTTATATTTTAAAAAAAACACACACACACACATACATTACTACTCTGACAACACTAGAATGACTTACACATTTTAATACCCTGTCATTCCAAAAATATATTATATTTTTAAATGGAGGTGGTAAATCTTTTACCATTGCAAGCTTCAAGCCGTTGGATTTTGTCCAAATAATGCTTTTTCCACAAGGCAGAGTCATGAAGAATCACAGCCCAACGGCTATTAATTCCATCTCTGAATCAAACTATAAATTCAACGAAGTGATTGGCCCCTTTGAAGGGAACGTCAGAATATAACAGCGACAGACAGCACTTACAAAGATACAACAGGTGTGCGCGCTACAAATTTCGAAACAGCTCTCAGACAATTGCTGCAAAACTACAATTACATTTGTTTGCTAAACAACTACTATTTGCACAGGCTAGTAACTAAACCTCAACCAATTTTTAATAGCTCGGCAGTTCCAGATTTTTTGTTGCTGCATTCATTGAGTAACCCACAGCTTGGCTCAAACTTTCAAGCCTTGAACTTCAAACTGCTATCAACAGTTGGTGACGTTTCCCAGCAGTCTGGTCGTGAAATTTTGTTCTCAAATTGCTCCCTGATCATCAAACTCTCTTGTATTTTGTGAAACCGATTTACTTTCTAAACTTTCCTCATTAGGTATGCTTTCCGTGACTGGTGCCTCATCACCTTGGACCCTGTCTTTCGGTTCAGTATTAGAATCAGAGACTTTTGATTCTTGGTTAGGATTAACTTGCTCTAATGGAAGATTACTGGCCACAGAGCGAAGGGTATGGCCATTAGAAGTGCTCTCACCCGATGGGGCGACAGATTTAACAGCAGTAGTGCAAGGAGGTGCAGTGGCAACAGCTTTAGGAGAAACAGCTGAATTTATAGGAGCTTTCAGGTGGATGACAGAACCAGCAGGTGTGGACAGCTTCATTGAAGAATTGCCAGTGGGCACAATTTGTCCAGCGGTTCTGTCCAGAGTAGCCTTCTGCACAGACAAAACATCAGCCGAGGAGACAATGCGAGCACCAACTGCAACTGCAGTAGCTCTTACAGCAGCATCAGCACTTTTATTAGACTTCAGCGTTGTTCTTTCAGGGGCTAAAGAATTTGCAGGGGAAGCAGAAGAAACCAATACAGCTTGTTGAGATGGAAGCTGAGGCGGCACGGAGCTGCTCTGAACTGTTGAAGCTTCAGCAGTATTAATAGGTTGCACAGGGTTCTTAATTGATGCATTTAATGAGGCCCTAGCTGCAACCGGTTCAAATAGAGGCAGTCCTTGTCAATAATTTCATTGACTACGTTATCACATCAAACAATAAGCCACAAATAGTAAATGCAGTTCTTGGTAATTCACGAAACAAAACTCTTCACATCATGTTAACTTTGTCAAACAACACACACACACACACCCACCCACCCACGCAGAAAGTCATATTATCACTGCAATATGCACCAAGCCACATGATTGCCACCAAATATTTCCCACAACTACATTTTTATCTTTAAAAACCAATAGGGGTAAATAAGTAAAATCATACAGGCAATCAATCACGTTCAAAACAATCACATTCAATCATACAGCAATCAGACAGGCATCTCAAAGAGGAAGGGCAAAAACTAGAAAATCAAGGGCAGAAAAAGTCACAGAGACTCATCAATATCTCAGACCAATCAATTTTGAAAGCTTTACACGTCTAGGACGAAAAGCAGCAAAACCAGGTGACATTGGAAAAATCATAAAAGGTACCAATTTTATGGTATGCGGTCATGTTCTTAGTTTGACCAGAGATTGCCTTTATACATATGCAAAGAGTATATCCAGCTTTCTTACATGTTCAAGGCTGTGTAACTTTCTTTGTTCCCTTTCAGTTTCAGTTGTTTACTAGGATACATCGTCATCCTCTCTTACATCATTCTACATTCAACATCAGTTTTTTTTTTTTTTTACTTTCAAAATAAACCAGGGGAAGAAAGTGATGACAAAAAAATATCAAAATTTGTGACCACATTGGCATCTCACCTAGTCATTAGCGTTCAAAAGCAAAAGCAAATTAAGCACATCATGAATCAAACACAGTTCATCAGTTCATTTGAAAGATCAGGATAACATGAAAGATAGGTCAGGGACTATTAAGTGGCCTATCAAAGTTTACTAATGAAGCGCTTGATACTGAAACCGAGTCTGAGGTTCAATTCTCAACAGCAGGAACCTTTTTAAAGGTTATGAGAATAAAGAAGGGTTAAATAGCAAAAATACCCTAGAACTTTTTCTCCAATAACACCTGGCATCCTAAACTTTTTTTTGGGAACATTTTTGGCCCACCATTAAATATAATAAACATTGAACGTTAAATGAAATTTGACCAGGACAGTTTACGATTTTGTCCTCTTCATTTCTACATTTTTTGAACTTTGTTTTCATTTGTTGGAAGGAAAAAAATTAAAGAATTCACTAGAGAACGAAATCAAAGACTATACACAAAAAGGAGGGAAAAATACAAAAAAACCCTTGGTCAAACTTCAGCTTAACAGTCAACATTCCCTATATTTAACGATAGGAAAAATGCTCTAAAAAAAAATTCAGGATGCCAGGCACCCCTAGAGAAAAAGTTCCAACACATTTTTGCCCTTTAACCAATAAAAAATCTATAAGATCCAGTGGATGATTAGAGGCATGAAGATAAGAGAGAGCTGAAGGACAGAAAATTCGCAAGTTCTGGAATTTGATTCAATTTTTATAAACTAGAAGTTTACAAAGTAGAAAAAGACAATCACCAGGGTCAGTCGTTCCAGGAGCAGTTAATTTTTTTAATGGCATATCAAGGGCTAAAGATAATGAGTGACGAGTTGCCAGCTGTTCAGCAGTAAACTGTGAGCTGGTCAAGTTTGTTCCTGAATTTGAAGTGCCATCTTTCTTTCGTAAAATGCTCCACCTCTGCAATTATTTGGATATACCATGACAATTTGTTGAGTAAAAAGAAAATATCAACAAAGACAAAATTAAAACAATAATTCGATTAAGGTCAAGTTTCATGGGCAAAAGCAACTGTCTAATCCCAATGTTACAGCAGGTACAGCAGCAGGAATCATTAACCTCCCAGAACTAAACAAAAATTTATTGCTATTCCCTCAAACTTCTGACACGTGAGACAGAACCACATTAGCCTAGAGTTACATGGAACTAGGTGGTAAAAGGCGATGAGCTCAAGTTAGAAAAAGCCTTAAAGGAAAAGCACAAATGCTGAGCGAGAAGCTAAAGTTACACAAAGGATGAATAACAAGATGTCAAATATAGAACCAGTAAATGTTTACACCAAAAAAGTTAACCACTCAAACATAAAATCCATATGCACTAGCAAATATCCCAATGTGAAGCATTGTTCTAATCCATAAACTATAAAAATCAACAAAAAATTATCTGCAGTACTGAAATTCATGTAATAAATAATTTATCCAGTAGAATTTCTTCTTTTAGTTGCCAACTTTAATAAATTTTCTTGTTTCTCACTGAAAGTCATTCCTTATAAAAAAATTATATTTACTAAAATGGAAGAAAAATACATGAGGAGGATGATATCTATTAAAATAAAGTACTAAAATCAAAACAGGAAGAAATGGTAAAAATTTAGTGATGCAGCAAAGCTTCCCAATCCCTCTACACATGATAGAGTTGCTCCTTAAAATGCTGAGTACCGAACACCAAATAGAGGCCGCAAAAATTCTATCCAAGGCATCTAAAGACAAAGAGACAACTCTGAAGATACGAGCATTCCTTTCCAAATCACAGCAAAAACCGTGCATTGCCACAATGTTTTTCCTTCCTTCTGTCCAAATCTTTTACATTCTGTTTAAATACCCATTAATAGAGATTAAAAAAATTATAAATTATGAATTAAAAGTGCATGTTTGAATTGAATTTATATAATTGGAATTTAAAATACGCTGCATACCAAAAAAAAAATACACTAAATCAGCTTGGATTCAATCATTCATTGTTATCTGCTTTCTATGCTACAAATTATCAAGCATTATCAAAATTATTGCAGAGGTGATGGCACGACTAACCCCTCGACCCATTCACACTAAAAATAACAGCATTTAGCAATTTCCAATGTTTGTTTCATGGTGACTATAAACACAAGACTTAAACATATGATCCATAAGTTATATGAACTTCATTAATCTTGATCACAGGCAAAAATCTCTAAAATAACGTGTTCTCCCTACAAGGAGACAACCACATAAAGATAAGGCTCGGTCTTAAAGGATTGGGGAGAGAAAAGAAAAAACATAAAAAAAAACAGTTAACTATTGTAACATACAATATTACCATAGAAGTTTAGCCTTTATTCATAAAAAATAGCAAAGTTCAGGATAGAGCATATTAACAAGACAAAGTAGCAAATTGAGCAACCAAAAATTTAAAATATCCATATAGGCAAGAAAAAATAAAATAAAAAACATGCTTTTCACTTATTCGTTTTGCAAATAACTTCTATAATCTCCATGTTCTGTTCTCACCTTGGCATCAGCCTAAAGTACCCTTTCAATAGAAATTCACAAATTGTACATTAAGCATGCACACTGGAAATTGATAGAGCTCATGATTTTACTAAGACCTATAAGAGGAAATCAAGGAAGGCAAGAGGTTAAAAGATAACATTATTGTTGGTTCAGATGTTTGCCTTTCGGATCCTGGTTATGAGGGGAAAAAAGAAAGTAATTGATGGCCTAGTGATGTGCTAGAGTCCTAGTGATGGTTAAAGGTCTTCTAGGGGTAAGGGCTGTGCTAGAGTCACTTTTTAGGTCTTTAAATCTTCCTCCTTGCCTGGAGAGAGGGGGGGATTATTTTGAATATTGAGAGTGGTAAGGAGAGCTCTGGCCTCTCAAATGCCAGGTTGGGAGAGGAGGAAGTCATCTTTCTTCATCATTTTATCTTCTGCTTAGTGTATGTTTGTAAGTGAGTGACTTATATTTTGTGATTGTTGTTTGGTGGAGTGTATTCTGTGCTGTTTCTGTTTCAGTACGTTGAAATTTTCAGTTCCTTATTTCGCTGTAATCCAACTTTGCTATTCGGTAATAGTAATTTTCAGTCCCCATTTTTGGTGTAGTTTCTGGTTTATGCTTGTTTAAAGCTTATTAGAATAGAGGGTTCCATCAGAAATTTATTTGCTTGAAACTTCCTATATATTAAATCAACTGATTTCACCTATTCATGGTCCAATGCCCATGCTTTCCCTCCTCAAACAACATAAACTCAATAGAGTATATGATGCAAGATCTCACCCAGAACCTAAAAATATCCATTTGGGAAGGTTGGAGGAGGACAAAAAACAAAAGAAGTAATCCATGAAGAAGTAGGATGGGAAAAGAAATGAGTTCGAAGTAAACTGTTTTTGCTTGAATGCCTACTGAGGCAAGACTGAGAGCAAGAGCAAAATGTTACTGCTTAAATGTCATCAATATCATACATATGAGGCAGGATAAAGAAAGAACGTGAAGACAAAAAAGATTGCAAAATGTTTGAATGGGAAAAAAAAAAAAAACTGTCATGGCAATGGAAGGAGGTTTAAGAAACACTCCTAACTAATTCAAAGGCAGTACTAAATCAAATTTTCTTGCTATAAAAGCACAAAAAATATTTTTCTTCAAGAAACTGAGCAGTCTAAAATGTCAAAAGACAACACGCTCTGCCTACACAAAAGACCTAATTAAACGTCCTCATTACACGCTAAATATCTATAGAAAGGGCAGTATGGAAACCTAGAAGACATCATTCATCAGCACTACAAAGAAATCTTCACAATATTGTTCTCAATTAAAAAGTCCCACAAGAGAAAGACCACAAACAATTCATACACCACTGGCAAGATGTCTAGGTGTAATAATGACTATCTCAGTAAGCCTAACAAAGACCACCTCAAGAACTTGACCAGATAAAGAATTCCATATGGACTAAACAATTTTAAAGCTAAAGAAGAATATGATTTTGAAGAACTTTACCCATTGTCTTCCCTTTTATTTCTTACAAAATCCATTACCATCCTCTAGTGGACAAAAGAACCATGAGCATACCCTCGTAACTATTAATCCATAGTGCCATTAACAAACATGATGTACTTAGGGACCAAATTTTAGGATGATATAATAGAGAATGACCATATAAATTCACAAGCTTTTATGATAAAGAAAAAACCAACCTGAGCCAACTGTGTAGGACTTCTTTTGATAGGGAAGTCATCTCCTTTTGACATGGTTGCCCAATTTCCCTCACCACATTTCTGAACAGCTGCTCGTAGTTGCTTGTCCTCTTCTTCTGACCATGCTTTTCTTCTCCTTTTGGAAGACAATTTGCTTCCAGCTGTTCCCTTGGCTTCTACGCCTTCAGTCACAGATCCAGTTGATAGTGTCTGTCTCTGAACAGTGACAGGAAAAGTAACACTTGCTCCTTGTACCAAATTTGAGGGCTGTATATTTTCTTCAGGATTTGTAGACGAATGACAATTTGGAATATTTATAGTCATGGGAGCCTCAATTGTTGAGCTGCTAGAACCAATTTCACTAAGTGAAGCAGAAGCTATCATAACCTAATCAATAAACAATTCCATTTCAAAAGACGATCATGATTGGAGAACAAAAACTATAGCAGTAATCATGCTAATACAATTCAATAAAACCCCAGAAATTGGATTGTTTTTGTGGAGCAACAGTACAACCAAAATGTGCATAATATGAACAGCCATCAAAATAGTATAATCATGTAACAATGATAGTATTAGTCACAAGGTAGGGAGACCTATTCCACAAAGGACTATAATGCATGGATACTCCAAATTCAATCTGACGTACTGGCATATGTAATACAAATTTAAGCTGCACCAGCCAATATAGAAAGAAGTAAATTGCAAGAAATAATAACTCATATAAGTGGAAAATTAGAAAACGAGATAGAAGCAGGCTAAATAGGTTGCAGTGCAAAATGTTCAAGGGGAACGTAAAATGAATAAAAAAAATTGACACAGGCCTGCAAAATAAATTCAAATTCATGTCACATTTTAAACCAAGAATATGAGAAGAAAAGGCTAAAAAGGATGAAAAGATGAAGAGCCAAACCAAACATAAGATTGAAACCATGCTCCTGTATCAACTTAATAATGAATCTACAAAAGACTTTCCTAACACAATTTAAAATGATCTTTTAATCAACATTTATTCCTACATAAACAAATAGACGAGGCTGGATTGCCATATAATTATCATCAGATATATATATATATTGTTACCACTACCAAGAATAACAAGACTGGAAGCAATTTGCAAAAGCTGAATTATTGGATTCAGGGAGAGTCAAGAAGAGGTGAGCATATAGAAATAGTTCCAAGGCGTATTGCTAAGCCTAATCATCTGATAATAAAGTAAGCAAAAAGTAATTGGAAGCAAAAGGCTTAGAGTTGTATAGATAACAAATGGCAATTGGGGAAATTATTATCCACCTTCACACAAGCTGAAGCCTCTGACGCAGCCTCATTGTTTATAGGGGGTACCACTTCTATCTCACGTTCTAAGTCACTATCATCGTCCTGCAAGTAAATTTCCACATAAATGAGGGGGAAATTCAAGCATTGATCGAAGAATAACAAAACAAAAGGAGAGGAATGGAGGAGGGAGGGAGAGGCTTGGCAGGCAGAAAGACAAACATCAAGAACAAGAAGTCTTATCCCACTAGGTGGGATTAGTTACATGAATCGCATACACCATTGTGCTCTATCAATGTGAAGCTGCATTTTTTCATTATAACCATGTTTTCATGACTATTTCATTCGAAGAGTTTATAAAGCCAACAGAAAAAAGTAATACGCTAAGATTGAAAATTAAGAATTACAAAGCAGGTATTCCAAATACTTATAACCTGGCCAGACATTCATTTTCTGAAGCCAAAAGGATCTTCTGCCCTTCATAAACGACAATGTGTTCAACATAAGTTCATAATTAAGAGCAAAATGATTACTAGTATGGACAGACAAGGCATGAAAACACATAGATATAACCTTAAAAAGCATTTGACAACCAACAGTCAGCATATTGCTAATGTAGTGATCATGGATCCAACAGCAGCGAACAAAAAAGAAAAGGGAAAAAAAGGGGAGAAAGAGTCATAAATCAACTATATCTATAACAGAGAATACGAAAAGGACTGTGTATTTTACGTATCTAGCACCCCAGTGATCCTATAATAAGAAGTTCACGCCCAAGAAGTCATAAATAGTATCAAAACCTCCTCCCACACGATTTTAAAGCAAAGGGATTTAAATCTTGAACTCTGAATGGCAAGTGCTTTACTTGAATATCAGCAAGACAGAAAAGTTCAACAGACTATCAGAAGCAGATAAACTAATAATGCGAATAGAGTGCCACACAGACCAAAGGTTCAGCCCCGTCTTCCAAATTTTCAGGCAAGGAATCATGATACGCCAGATAACGCCATAACATCTGACCCTCTCTAGCATTTGATATCCCAGTTGCTGTGTTTTTTACCAACTCATTCCAATCAATCTTGGGATCAGGATAGTTTGACACTTCCTGAAGAAAAGTGATAACGGTGGTTGCATCGTACCTGAATTGCACCCAAATCAAATCATATTAACACACAAGGTATTAGCCCGCAAGACATACAAAAATTACCGAAAAGAAAAGAAATACTTGTCCAAGAGAGCAGCAGCGTCTTCCTCGCTAAAAGCGACCTTCTTGTTCTTCTTGTCAGTTTCCCCCATTGGTAAGTCCTCGTTGAAGCCGAAAGAAGAATGAGACAAGCAGAGAGCGCTCTCCCTAACCACACTTCTCGGGTGTAGAAAACAACCAAAACCCTAAAGACTCAGTAGAACAGAGGGAAACCAGAAACCTACCATGAATATCGCAGATTCTCGTTTGGGTTAGCAGCAATAATGGCAAGAGTGGTTTGGCAGACACAGTGAGGCACTGAGATAGAACGACAAAAGAGTCGTCGATCACTAACCGTTGAAATCTTGGAAATCGACTGTAACCCGCGCCATCTCTGTGATTCATATTTATAGTAATAAAACAGAAATTGAGGCGGCCGATAGTTCAGAGAAAAGTGGTTTCAACATGAAATGTAAAATAAAAATAATTTCTAATTCTAATAACTATTCGCCATATCAAAAATACTTATTTCCCTTAAAAATAAAAAAATTGAATTTTTTTATACAATGATAATTTTAAGGGAAATTTTAACTACTTGCAAACTTACAAAGATAAAGATCAGCGCTCACCTCTTTAAATTGATGGCTAACAGGAAAAAAAAATAAATTATTTAATAATAGCAACAATTGAGATTTTTTTTTACCCTATGTACCGTGATTTTCTCCAAAATTCTCTCCAACAAACTCAGAGTCGGAATTCTTTGGCGGCGGCGGCGGCGGCGGCAATAATAATAATAAAATCGGCATTTAAAATTAATTTAACCTATGCAACCTGAATATAAATACTTGATTTCAGGCCATAAAGTCCATTGAGAACGTGCCATTAACATGTGATTGGGTAAAACCATCTTGGTTTGGGTGTTCTCTTAGTATTCTTATTAATCCAGCTGCTGTAGAGTTTTATCAGGTGGTCTGAGCAACTTATATTTAGAAAGAATGAGGAATTGGAGTATATTATAGCCTCTAGAGCTTTCTTTTGTTGGAATGTGTGGAAAATGCATTGCGACTCTATCTTTAATGATGTTGTGCTTGATCCCTTTAAGGTTATAGAGTCCACAAACAGCATGATTAATGACTATTGGAGTGCTAATGGCTTTCTCTCCTCTGATATCCGAGCTACTACGGAGGTCTTTGAGTTTGAGGAATACTGGTCATGTCCTTCTGTTAGTGAAATTAAAATTAATTAAGATGCGGCTTTTTGGAAGTTTACTTCTGCTGCTAGTCTAGGTTTGTTGTGTAGAAATGATAAGGGTGTTGGATATTATAAAATAATTATGGGTGTTTTAAAAGAAAATATTATAAATTAATAATATTAAATACTTTTTAAATAAATTTATGTTGTAACACATATATTAAACCACATTATTACATAAAACTGTTTTTTAATTGTGTTAAACATGTTTTACTGCCTAATCTTTAAGATGTTTACCTATAAAAAGTAATGCTTTCCATATGTATTATAGAGAGCCTCTGTGATGGGCTTTCTCTCCTTCTCTATCCCATTGCTTCATCAGTGTTAATATTGCTGAGTTATCATAGAAATTTTTGTTGTTTTGTATCCTTGCTCATTTTGCAAGAAAATCTGTTTAATTTTAAAGAGCTGTCGTGTGATCAATTCAATGTAACAAAATAGCTCTTAAGGATAGTGTTTTTGAGCACAACTCAGGCTATGAGTTCACTCACTTTCGCCAACAATCTTAAGAGCTACTCCTGATGAGTTGATTTTGTTTGGTTTTACTAAACTATACTAAGTGGAGATGAAAGAAAACTCCTAAAATGAATGCTATAACGATAGTAAAGGGCTGGAAGTTAAGAGAGAATCTCTAGACAAAGTAACCTATCATTGTGCAAAGATGGTGGATGTGCTATCATTGAACGTGTTTTCTAAAGATTGTTTTATTATTCACGCGTCATGGTTTAGATCTGCCGCAGGTATGCTTTTATCATACCAATAATTATACCAACAATTATTTACTGAAGATATTGGCACTGGGCTGAATAACTAAGAACATGTCTATATGGAGATATATATATATATATATATATAATATAACAAATGAACAAATGATATACACACACATATATAACAAATGAATTATGGTATTATACTTTATGTGGACATTAAAGGTTCAACATTCAAGTCTTTATTTGGTTGTTATTCAATTATACCAACATTGTTTTTTTCTTAATGTGCATGGAGTGTTTTTGTATGGGATTATGAGATCATTTGTTGTAGATTGTTTAACATACAGGTTGCATTCATTCTAATATATAAGAATAGAAATGGTTGTAGACTCTTGGGAAACATAAGTGCACGGATTAAGTCCGTGAAGTGCTATTAATTGGTTTCCTATGAATATTAATAAGAAAGTTAAGGGAGATTTAATATTGGAATTTTAAAACATACATAAGGATTGGCCCATAAAGCGGGCATTTATTTAGCCATGGTTCATGAATTTCGGTTATGGTAATTTATTGATTTCAAAACCTTTTGTCAATTATTTGAAAATGCTATTGTATAGTGTTAATCGAGGTTTGATAGCCGGATTTCTATCATTTAATTGCAATTGAAATTGCAATTTTATGTGAAAACGTTTGTGTATTTTTTAGTTATTATATTGTGGGCATTCATGAATTAATTAACACATAGATTTTATTATTTTGTGAATATCATTGGGATGCATGATCATATCATGTGTATAATCATAACAGTGTGGAAGGAAATTAAAATTATCATTTGAAGACTACTTCCACAAGCCATGGTGTGAATCTTATGGCTACAAATTGTAATGAGCAATTGCTTGAATAATGTTGTGGTGGAAAAAGTTTTTAACTATATATCTTCCTCTGAAATTCTAATTTAAGAAGAATGGATGGTGATATATGATATCCAACCGTTTAAAATACCCCTAGTATGGGGGCTTTGCGTAAGTTTGATGCATGTCATAATATGTTTATGGTGAATTTGAAATTATGAGATTCTAATTTAATTAGAATGAGCAGAGATTGTATGGTGAGATTCTAATTTAATTATAAAATTATTCAAGGTATGAATTATTTTTTATATGATTGAAATATTTTAAAATGTGGGGGGTGTTTAACAAAAATTATTTTTCTTTACTCTAAAAATTGTGTTGTACCAAATTATTAGCCTTATTTTATATATACCAAGATATTATTCTGTTGTGATTTAGAGAGAATATTCATGAAATTTAATCATTTATTTAATGTAGATAAATGTAATTTGAAATAGGAGCATGACTTATTTTATTATCCTGGCATGAACATTTATTATTATGATTGTGAATAATGATTTATTTATGTGTTATAATCCATATGAGATAAATAGAATATTTTTTTAAATTATGAGATTGTGAATAGTAAATATCCAATGTATAAATTCACGGATGTTAATGTGAGAAGATCCACTGGTAATTATCCACCCTAGTGGTGATGAAAACAAATATAATAATAGGATCATAGAGTTCATTACTCTAAACTTGGAGGCTAAGTTGTGAAAAATCTTCTTAACAATTTTGATGTAAAACTGACACTTAATGTAGATGAGCATTCTCATGATGCTAACATGTTTTCTTAAAAATGAAAATGGAATGATTCTATTACTCAATCTATACATGCACGTACAAACCTTAGAGAGTTTACCGTATTAATTAATATTAATCCCATAATATAATTATGTTATGTGGAGATTGAACATATCAAATAATCTCATAAGAAAATGAGACAAATGAGTGTTTGAGGGATAACATAAATGTTGGTATCATTATCACATATAATGGATTTTCATTGTATTAAAATAATGCAATGATGTAAATTGAATTTTATATTTAGATGAGAAAAAATTCATTGGTAGCCAAATAAAATATCATGTGATCCAAAGTTTATTATTCTGAAGTTGGTTGGTAATGAGGCTAAATTGTTGAGAAATTTTTACTAAATATTCTATTATGAGTAAAATTAACACAAGCCATGTCGATGATTTTTGATTGTCAAATGGTGATATTCATTGTAAAGAAAACAATGGCACAAGTGAATATCGTTTAAGATACAATCAAGCAAGCTAAAAGAGAGAGTTATCTCAATTGATTTATATGAGATCAAATGTAAGTCTGACGGATCTATAAATTAAACCTCTAGGGAAGAAATTAATTATTTAAATGTTGAGGGGAATAGGACTTAAGACAATTTAAAATTAACAGTGATGACAACCCACTATTTGTGATTAGATATCCTATAAAGAAGGTTTAATGAGTAAGAATAAGTTACTTGTTAGTTCTGCTGGCACTAAATTTTTTGTTTCTTCCTATGGCTTGAGAAAGTTTTAGAATACATTGATTTGAGGTTGAGTAAAAGCTCTTAATGATTTTCATAATCCTTTTACATGGTGTTTTCATCACAAATATACTTGATGAAATCACCCATACAAATGTGGAGTGGGGCCGCTCCTATGAAATCGTGGTAAAATCTTTAAACATTTGTTAAAACCAGGCATGCACATGGTGGATAACGGCCAAAATTGTTGTTAACAGCAGAAATTATGAAGGTATAATCTGACTAATAAAACCTCTAGTACATAACCAAAATCTGTTAGTTTAATAACAAAATTACACCGACTTTTCTATATGCTAAGTTTTATTTATCTAAGTTTTCTTTAAGTCGAAAGACACTAGATTTAAAGTGATTATCTTCCATGTGTATAACTCAAATGATAGCGATTCTTTCGACACATGTGGAGGATTTTTGCAATTGTATCAAAAAAGAAAGTCCCATATTACTCAAATAAATGGAGGTCTTAGTTTATGGATACTAAGACGTAAACTTGGATTAGTGAATGGGCTTAAAGAAAAAATGGATTCTCACATATAATTGCTTATCAGTTAGACATGGTATTGGTCAATTTTTCAAAATTTTGAAAACAATTTTGCGGAGATACAAAATTATTTACTTCAGATAGTTTTCCAAAAAAATTTCATTTCCTTTTGAAATATGTGGGACATTGTTGGATATTATAAAATAATTATGAGTATTTCAAAAGGAATTATTATAAATTAATAATATTAAATACTTTTTAAATAAATTTATGTTGTAACATATATATTATACCACATTATTGCATCAAACTGTTTTTTAATTGTGTTTTATTGCCCAATCTTTAAGATATTTGCCTATAAAAGGCAATGCTTGCCACATGTGTTATAGAGAACTTTTGTGATGGGCTTTCTCTCCTCCTCTATCCCATTACTTCATCAGTGTTGATATTGCTTAAGTTATTCTAAGGATTTTTATTGTTCTGTGTCCTTGCACATTTTATAGAAAAAGTCTATTTAATTTTGAGGAGTTGTTGCGTGATCAACCTAATGTGACAAAATAGCTCTTAAGTTTTAAGGGCAGTGTTTTCGAGCAAGACTCAAACTATGAGTTCACTCGCTTTTGCCAACAAAAGGTAATTTCATTAAAGGTTGGATGGAGAGAGTTTCAGCCACTTCTAGTTTTATGGCTGAGCTTTTGGCTGTTAAGAAAGCAGTGGGGATGGCAAAAGAATTTTTCCCAACTAAGGTGATTGTTGAAATGGATTGTACAATACTGTTTAAGGCCTTGACCTCTCATGCTTACTAGGCTTGGGCGTGGGAATTTCACCATGTTATTGAGAATCTAATTGATGATACTAGATCTTTGAGTTTTCTGTCATTTTCTCTTGCCCCCAAGTATGGGAATCGTGTTGCCAACTGGATGGCTGCTGATGCTTTAAGAGGGTTGGGACTGCATGGTCTGGTTTTATCACCACTACCTCCTCTAGCTTCTCTCATACTCACTGCTTTTGTTTATCTTTTCTCATATGATATGGACCAGCACAGCAACGAGGCAGACAGGGAAGGAATTTGCTAATGCTTTTCTTGACCGTTAGTGTAGTGTACTTGGTTCGGGTAGTTTGGTTCTGCTGCGTTTTTTCAATACTGAATGTTTAAATTTGTTGTCTTTATTTCCCTGTTTTGTTGCACATTGTGATGTTTCTTCTTCTTGGCAACGGAATTGCTTCTTTTGTTGGTTAAAAATATGTATATATTATTAGTAAATAATGAATAATCACTCGTCAAAAGACCTAATTTGTCCCAATTCCGCATAGTTGTCTGGTGAAAGAATTACTTAGCCATCAGACAATAAATAATTGAGTACCAAGGTTTTTTTCTCCTTTTATTTTTTTTCACCTTCTCACCAAGAACTAAAACTTAAAGCTCACTGGCCAAAAAAAAAAAAAAAAAGCTTGTGTCCAAAAAATACAAATCAAATTTTTAAAAATTTAAAGTATGACCTATTCACATTAATATATAAAGAGTTTATCATTAAAAATTTAAAAATTTATAAAGGGCTTATCATTAATATATAATGATTTATCATTGACAAATAGAATAAATTGATTATAATGTAAAATATAATAAATATTAAACTATTTATTTGGTTTAATCAAATAACATAGACTAGATCTGAAAAAGCTATATATATAAAGAATTAAGAAGTCAATCTCGTGCTTTGTCGCTTGCAAGAATCAAGAAGGCTGGATGTAATAATTTGTTTGCGTTTCACACACCTGTACAGTTATCATAAAAACTTGCCTGGATTAAACATCTCTCTCTCTCTCTCTCTCTCTCTCTCTTTCTTTTTTGTTGACAAAGCCTGAATTAAACGTCCAAGCTAGTTTCAGTTTTCAAGTTCGTTATCCCGCAGCCCAACCAAACTTACATGCCATGACAATAGGATCTGAATTGCAATGAGATTGAATCAAATGGGCTCTAATTCACGATTGAGTCAGCAGATGCATTGGTGAAGATAAAATCTCGCATGGAATAAATGCAAATTTACACATAAAAGGGAAAAACTAATTATTTAGCTCATTGACTTGGTCACAACCTGGACTCTAAATCTTAATTCAGTCCAATTCAAGTTTTAATCATTTAATTCATTGGTCCCTATGTTTTATAATTAGTTTGTATCTTAATTCTTAAAATGATTTTTTGAAAGTGTAGGAATCAATAAACTAAACAATTGAAACTTCAGAAACTGAGGTGATAGGTGAAACTTAAGATTGAGTTATGGTGAAACAAACTACAGGAGTCTGAATGATTAATTTTCCAATAAAATGTGGCTGTAATCAAAATTGAAGGATAATATGCAGCCAGCACGGTTAGAACTTAGAAGTTAGAACAATATTCTCTCTTTTTTCCTGTAATAAGAAGTAACCTCTCAATTATTCTTGAAAAAAAGAAGGAAAGCAATGACACCAAATTAATAAATCTCTTCACATAGTTCTCTCCATTGATAAATCTCTTCACATAGTTCTCTTCTTCACCACTTTTTTTCAGGTGAAAACGTCAATTCCATTCCCGAGAAACGGATACACATACACATAAATAGAGAGTGGGGGAAAAAGTACTTAGATCACCTTCCGGAAAAGGTTTCAATTTCCAAAACTTCTATTGCAGAAAAAAATATACACTATATACTTCTTTGTCTACTTTTGCCAGGAGACTAGCACTGGAAATTATATCGGCAGACACCGGCGTCCACTTAGAGAAAACTCGAGTCAACGTGAATATTCGAACGGGCGGTTTGAAGAGCAAGATAACCCAGCAACATAAAACTTACAAGGTATAAAACACACTGACATAAAAATACGATTGAGTCGAACCAACTACAAGACTAGTATTGACAATCGATTTATAATGATCTCCAATACCCACATTTAATAGTACAAGACCTTTGAACTAACCCACTGCGACCTGGATGTGTTTAGAGATCTCTCAGATTCCCTCCCCTATAACAGCCCCTGATAAATAATCTAGGTCCAAAAGAAAAATCTAGACAGTCGTTAAAAGAGATTATTGAAATTAAAAAAAAAAGGACAAACATTCAGAAAATCATTTCATTTTCTCATGGAATCTATTTCAGGCTCCACCATCAGTAACCTGATACTTGGCAGACGCAGAAATTGACCTCAAAATACACTCTAGCCGATCTTGGGCTTCACACATGGAAAAGCAACGGTACAACAACTAAACCTGACTTGTAAGCAATCAGAAAGATCACCAGACATCTCTGAGGTATCGTCCATCCATTTGGAGTTTTTTCACTACAGCCTCAGCTTCTGATGAGTCCACATTTTCCTGAAATTCAAATCAGAAACATGGTTTCGAAGTGTCCCTGAGTAAGAGGTACATATGGCTTAGCAACCAAAGATGAGCAAGCCAAAAAGGGCCACTCGGAAGAAAGCATATTTTTAGTAATTTGATACCCCAGTGCAGAGGATACATTGAAGATAAGAAGCAACTACGTTTCCCAAATTTTCATTTACAATACCAGAAAAAACAGCAAAGTCAGCTTTTTATTGGTTAGTCATACAAGCATATAGAACAATGTGGAGCTCCTCATGATTTTCCGTCACTAAAAAGGACAAACTCATGAAAGATGATTTAATTTATATCAATGTTCAACACACACACACACACACACACATCAAAAGTATATTCAACAGATATAATAAAGTTTATATCAAGCAGTACTATTCACCAATAATGATCAAAGTAGGTAGAAAAGTGTTTTCTAGAAAGGAAATGATAAATGCACATATCTTACTTCTTTCCAAGTACATTTTTTCATTTTCTTTCTAGAAAACATTTTTCTGTGACATTGCCTAAATGTTAATGCTGGGAGGGGTGGGGTGATGAAAGACAACCCGCACCTGTTGCTGAACAATGGTATGAAGGGTCCGATGAACATCTCTAGCCATACCCTTAGCATCACCACAGACATAAAGATAACCTCCCTGAGACATCAGCCTCCACAAATATTCTGACTGCACATAAAAAATTGGTGCAAAAATTAATTTAATAAGAGTTAAAATCTTCTCCCTTAGATGCTACTAACGGTTACCTTATCCATCATCTTGTGTTGAACGTACTCCTTTTCTGGTCCCTCTCTAGAAAATGCAACAATCAACTCTGACAGAGCACCTTGTTCCACAAAATTCATCAGCTCATCTTCATAAATAAAATCCTATAAAAGACCAAGACAAGATTTATTAATTAAAAAAATTGCACATCCATCAGAAAATCAACAAAGAATGAAAGGGCACCAAGCAAGTATCTGACCATACGGCGATTCCTACATCCAAAGAAGAGTAATGCAGGCCCAAGTTGAACACCATCCTCTTTGAGGGCCAGTCTTTCCTGAATAAATCAAAGATAGAGGAGTAAATTATGAAAATGTAAAAGTTAATAATGATTATGTTCAAGGATCCGTCCGTACTATGATTCAAGAATTAGAGCTTAACTAACAATGTGGTAATCTACGATTCATTTAATACAAACTTTCGTTAATCATGTTATTCCAATTCCAACAAATTAAGGTTTTCAATTTCAATCAAATTAACTTCAAAATGGACTTTGATTATAATCAAATCAAATTTTTGAATTTTCATTTTAGTTCTTCATATGTGGTTGATTATTATTGTACTTTCTATTTCTATTTGATTCTACTTTTTTTCCTCCAATCCTCATCCATGAATTCTTCTTTTTATTCCATCTAGTTCATTATCTATCAGCTTTATTACACTGAAATCAGAACCCAATAAATATCCATTCTATGTTCAAATCAACTTCAAAATGGGACTTTTGTATGTGACTATATCAAAATCGAGTATTTCATTGCAGTTCCTAATAATGTCATAGGTTATTATATAACTATCAACTTGACTCTATCTTTCTCCCCACAATTCTCATCTACGAATTTCTTCTCTCCATTCTATATTGCTCAGTAGTCAGCATTAACTACCAGCCTCACAGTAAAATCAGAACACTATAAATATCCATATCAAATTCACATACCTGTAAGAATCCTCTGAAAGGTGCCAAACCAGTACCAGGTCCAACCATAATAATAGGAGTTGAACGATCAGCAGGTAACTTAAAATTTGACGGCCTAATAAAAATTGGAGCCCAGCTACAGTCACGGCTTTTCTCTAAGGGGACAGCATTCTGTTTAGTAAAGACAGAGATTTAGGTAATACATATTAAGATCAAGCTGCACAAAGAAAAAGGAAAACAAAAGGACCAAGATGTTTCTCTCTGGCCAGAAAAGGACCAAGATGTTGGGACTCTGAATATAATACGGACAAGAAGCATGTCTTTTGCAAATCGCTACCTTCATCCAGGTAGAACACACTCCTTTGTGAATTCTGCCAGTGGGAGTTGGACCATACACCAAGGCGCAAGTAACATGTACCCTTTGTGGAGCAAACCTGGACAATCAGAACATGTCAATATTATCCTTCGCCAAACCTTTCAAGTTTAAACTAGACATTTAGATAGATAAGATAAATTACCTACGAGAGGATGAAATTGAATAATAGCGAGGCTGTAAACGAGGGGCTATTGCAGCAAAGAACACACCAAGGGGAGGTTTTGCTGACGGAAACGCAGCCATTACCTCAAGGAGACTTCTCTGTCTTCCGATCACCCATTTAGAATACTCATCCTAGAGAATAGAAATTCGTAAATTACCAATAATAATAAAAGCATTGAACTGGAAGACAAGAAGTAGCAGCACTAGCAATTTTTTTACACCTTTCCCTCAGGAGATGATAGAAACTTTAATCTTTCTGCCTCACTAGGTTCAGAAGCATGACCAGCCAAAGCAACCAAAGCAGCCTGAATGAGGAATGAAAATAACTTCCTTATTTATCCATAGAAAAAGCTGGTCCCCATCTAATCAGTATTTATTCACATAATAAAACAAGGACAAATTGCTAAGCATTGAAACTGAAGATCACATGAAGACCTTTCGAGGAGGATTCAAGAGATCAGCATAGCGTGCTAGTGCAGTACGAAGCATGCAAGGACCAGGAAAAGGAGGTGGCAGAGAACCTCCTAGTGCGGTGCCATCTTCATTATCAGCATGAAGAGAAAACAACAAATCTAAATTCTGACCCAACAACTTTCCAGCTTCTTCAACTGTTTCATTGCAGTTCTCAGCATAAACACCCACATGATCACCAGTTTCATATCTGTAAAACGAAAGGCGAGATTCATCAACTAATTCTTTAACTACCAGATAAATATATCATAACACATCATTAGAGAAGATGATCCATAATTAATGCTGAAGTTTACATCCTCTATAAGTCAGCTCCCACAAGACAATCATGCCCTTAAATACGCAAATATCTTTTCACACACCAACACTTAAAACAACTGAATCCTAGGAAAAACACAGCCTCTCAAATAAAAAAGATGTGCACATACCCCCTTGTTAACCCCATTAGAAGATTCACGCCCTTAACATGCAATTACCTTTTCAAAGATCAACACTTAAACGATGAAATTCTAGGAGAAACGCTACATTTCCTTTTATTATCTTATCTTTTCCTTTCTTTCTTTTAAAAGAAACACAGCTCTTCTAATAAATAAATATGTGTGCATGATGCGCATATGACACAGACATACAAGGAATTGTTTTCAAATATATAAGTCCATTATAGCAACCCTTTTTCTATACTAATAGCACAAAAAAGTATTTATCTGTGAAAAGGCATTGTTCTAAGAACCCAGAAAAATCACCTCACCACCTGCATTGGCACAAAATTAAAATAAAAAAGAACAGTATATGAAGCGATCAACCAACAACTAACACTAGCAAATAATTTTATCTAGAAGGAAATAAGTTATGCATATCATTCCAGCAGATAAAGTCAACTAGCTAATGTGCTTAAGAAAATGAAAGCATTAGAAACATACTATGAGAAATTATTTGGGAATCCACAATAAAATTAAAATATTACTATACGTGATCTATGATGTCCTTTATCAGGATAAATGTAGCCTAACTTACGTTATGGCAGTCCCTGGTATATCAAACTCCAGATGAATGCAAGAGCGATTAGACTCAGGTTTGTGAAGCTCTCTTTGAACGGCTACCCTAACACTTCAAGGGAAAAAAGAAGATACATTTTGGTTCTATTCCTGTTTGATAAGAAAATAATAACCACTAATCAACATGAACAACTCCAAGCACCTGCAAGGATGGTGAAGGTCAAACACGCCATTCACATTTGCTAGATTTAAGTTGTCATGGCATTGTGTGATATTGGGATCATGAATCACCAATCGATATTCAGGAATTGCAGCTGTATAAGGAGTAGAGACAGAATTCATATCATCCTCATCTCGCAGCAATTTGTCCAGCTCAGGCCATAGAGATTCCTTCCTACAAATGCAAATCCAAACCACATCATTTGAAATCTCATACGAGTTTCATGTCCCCTAGGCAAAATCATAAACTAATTGTAGTAGAAACACAATCAGTATATCAATCAATATAATAAAAAATCAATAGAAAATTGCACTATTAAAAAAATACAAATAGTGAATAGCAACAGTATAATGCATGTAACACGTGAGAGGCCCATCTTTAGTTATTATGACAATAGCAACAGTACAGAAGATTATATTACCATGCAGCAAAATCATCCTCAATGGATTGATCATCATCACCAAGTCCAACTGGAACAAGACGCTTTGCACCTGTGATAAACACAAAAATAAAGAAGACATCCATGAAGAGTATCAAAATATCTCTAAAACTAAATAAAATCTAATATACACATCTCAGAACATTTGAACCTAAGTACATGTTTCTACTTGCCAACATTCATCTAACTGTGAAGAGTTAGAACTCAATTCTGCTGACATACAAAGATACAAAAACCAAATAAGGTAACTAAAATGTTAACACGGTATTTGAGTATAATAATACAGTTATATTAAATCAAGAAATCATGCTGGAGAATATGTTTAAACAAATTACAAATATTTTTCAACTGTCAACAGAATTCCATCCACAAGACTTGAAGGAAAGCATGTCAAATGCTTTGAGAAAGCAAATAACCCAGGCTAAGCTAACACAAACCTAGCAATGGCAGATAAACTTGATTATCAAGGTGGAAATAAACAAAAATATCTACAGCAAATATCAAAAATAAAAATACATAGTTTTCTATTCAGTTTTACTCAATAACTATGAATCAAATGGCTTAACGTGAATAAATGGGGAAAATATACCAATTAAATAGGGATGATGAAGTTAAATACCTTGTTCACTAAGTTTTTCATCAATGACTTTACCTATCTGTTTCAACAGAATACCGTCAGATGACAAATATGATGTCAGATGTACAAAACAGAGAGGGAAAACAAGGTTTACCTTGTTAAAATGTTCATATTGCCTGTTACCTAGGCCAAAAACACCATATGTGAGTTGTTGAAGCCAGACACTTCCTTCATCTTTTCCCTGAAATTAAAGCCAAAGCATAAGAATTGTTTTCTGTAAACTTTAAAGCATATAAAAATACCAATATGAAACAGAAATCTGAAAAATTACTTAGAAACAGGGGTAAACTACAAACCTCGGTTAACCATTTGTAAAATCTAGCAGCATTGTCGGTTGGCTCTCCATCTCCATAACTACATTTTTAGGTCCAAATATGATATGAAAATATTAGGGGCTATAGGAATAAGTTGGGGCGGGAGTATAAATGTTATTCCTATTTGGGTCAGTACTGTTACTTTATTTAGTCCAATAGTCCAGCCCTATAAATACCCAAGTCCAGATACGTAATGTTGTTGTTGAACTCATCTAATAAAACGCACTATTCAGAAACGTCTCATCTAAACTTCCCTCTGTTCTCTCCTTCTCGTCTACCTATCTCTCTTCTCTCTTCATCTCATTCTATCCTAACAGTGGTATCTAGAGCCAATCCTTCCTCCCTCATATGCCTGTCACTCGTTTGCAAACAAGAATGGCTAAAGAAACAGAAGCAAGACTCATGATGATTGAAAATCATATTGAAGGGCTCACTACCTAGATTGCAGAACTTGTCCGCACAGTAGAAGAGTCTCAAACTCATCACGAGACAAACTCCAATGAGGCAGAAGGACACCATCGCAAAATTGGAGAAGGACGCTAGCGACCAAGACAAGAACAAGAATACCAACCTCCTACCCGATTTACCAAGATGAAGTTTCCAAGATTTCAGAGAGGAGATGTTCTTGGATGGCTCATGAAGTGTGATCAATACTTCCAGCTTGATAACACCCCAGACGCGTGGAAGGTCATGATGGCTAGTATTCATCTTGATGAGAAGGCCTTTCAATGGCATCAAAGCTTCATACGTACTAGAAGGAGATGTGCGACTGGATAGGAAGAATACTCGAAAGCCATAAAGAACTGATTCGGACCTACTAATAAAGCACCCATGGCAAAATTGATGCGGCTGTGACAAACAGGGAGCTTAGGAGATTACAATGATTCTTTTGATGAAATTGTATGTAAGCTGGACCTAACTGAGGAGTATCTGGTATAGACTTATTTAGAGGGTTTACAAGAAAAATATGCTAGGCCAGTAAGGTTACTTAAGCCCACAACTGTTCAAGATGCAAGAAGTCTGGCCCGACTTCAAGAAATACACCTTCAGAGATCACTAGAAGCAAACACATGCTCAAGAAAGGTATCCTACGCATCGCAGAGCAACATCACGACATCCACAGCCTCTTTGCATTCTGCGAATGCCTGGGCAGCACCGAAACAAAGCTTCTCACATGATAGGTCTCACCAAAACACAACTAAAACAGCACAACCAACCTCAGAATCCTCAGTCGTGCAAAGCTCAGCGTCTAACACAGCAAAAGATTCATCTTCTTCTTCTCGCCAATTTATTTCTAGGATTAAAATTCCCACAAAATTAACAACAGAGGAGGAGGCAGAACACAGAGCACAAAACCTCTGCTTTTACTATCATAAAAATTTTTCTAGTGGCCATAATTGCCTTCAAAGACGCAAGATACAATTGCAATTAATAGAGCTAGATTAAAGTCTAGAGGAAGAAGAGATGGAACCTAATGAGACAGACCCTGATGAACGAGAAATTCCTCCTGAATGCCATCAAATTTCAATGCATGCCATTGAGGGTGAAGTTAGTATGAATTCTATGAGACTTCAAGGATATGTGGGAAGGAGACCTATCCAAATTCTCATAGATAATGGAAGCAGCCATGATTTTCTCCATTATGATTTGGCAAAGAAGCTAGGCTGGAATGAAGAAGAAGATGGATGGACTGATGCAGTGGCTGCAGGGGCTGGAAAATTGAAAATATATGGAGTTTGGAAGGCATTTAAATGGAAAATGCAAGGAGAAGACTTTGGCCGAGACCTCAGGATAATGAACATACACACTTACAATATTGTGTTGGGCTGAGAATGGCTTAAAAGCCTTCATTATGCTTTTTCGGATAATATTTCTGTTACTATGTATTTCTGGAATGAGGGGAAAATGTGGGTTTTGCAGGCACAACCTTCATCAAAATGGCAAATGGTTGATTCCAGCAAGTTGGAAATTAAGAATGGAGACAGGTGCCAATTATTTCTACTCTAATTAGCAAAAAATAGTCAGTTTCAGAGTCAAATCCATGCTGTGCAACCAACAAAAACCATTCTAGAGGCTGTTGGTGACCTTTGGAAGAATTTAACAGTCTTTTTGATAAACCTAAAGGTTTGCCCCTTTTTAAGAAGGATCATAACCACCCTATTCTTTTACAAGAAGGGACAGATCCTATTAATCTCAAGCCTTATCATTATTCTTTTACCTAAAAGGATCTTATTGAGAAAATGGTGGGAGAGTTGCTAGCTACAGAAGTGATACAAGAGAGTAGCTTCCCTTTTGCTGCACCTATTGTGTTGGTAAAAAAGAAGAATGGCTCATGGCGCATGTGTATCGACTACCGTGAGCTTAATAAGAAGACAATCAAAAATAGATATCCTATTCCACTTGTGGAAGAATTATTGGATAAATTAAGGGAAGCTAGATGGTTCACAAAGCTGAATTTGAGAACGGGATACCATCAAATCCAAATGGAGCCTCAAGACACATTCAAAACAGCCTTCCGGTCTCACTCGAGTCATTATGAGTGGTTTGTTATGCCATTTGGCTTAACCAATGCTCCAGCAACATTTCAAGGAGCAATGAACTCTATTTTTAGACCTTACTTGCGCCATTTTGTTCTTGTTTTCTTTGATGACATTTTAGTTTATAACTCAAATTTGAATCTGCATGTTCAGCATCTAAGACTAGTGTTTGAAATTTTGCAGAAAAATCATTATTTCATCAAGAGGAGCAAGTCTACCTTTGCCAACAATAAGGTGAAATACTTAGGGCACGTTATTAACAATGGAATGGTGGCTAATGACCCTCAAAAAATTCAAGCAGTGGTAGATTGGCCTACACCAACTACTATTAAACAATTGATGTCTTTTTTAGGGCTTGCCGGGTATTATACAAGGTTTATCAAAGGGTATGGACAAATAATCAAACCCTTGACGGACCTTTTAAAGAAAAATGCATTCAAGTGGCATGAAGAAGCTGCTGTCATATTCAAGAAGATGAAACAAACACTTGTCCCAGCACCAGTTTTATCTCTCCCAGATTTCAATAAAGAGTTTGTAGTGGAAACAGATACTTGTGGAAAGGGAATTGGGGCTGTCCTGCTCCAAGGAAATCAACCCATTGCATTTTTCAGCAAGCCTTTGGGTCCCAAACAGCTCCAGCTTGCAGTTTATCAGAAGGAATTATTGGCCGTTGTCCTAGCTGTTGAGCATCAATACCTTGAAAGAAGGAGGTTTATTATCAAAACAGATCAGCAAAGCCTTCAATTTTTGTTGGGACAGAAGTTGAAGACCCCTTTTCAAATATATTCGGTTACAAAGTTAATGGGGTATGAATATGAAATTCATTATAAAAAGGAGAATGATAACACAGCTGCAGATGCTCTTTCTCGACTTTCACGACCTCAATTACTTCAGATGACTTTAGATACATCATCTCCAAAATTATTACACAAGCTTGAGGAGAGTTGGGAGTTGGATCCAGATCTCAAGGGCCTTATTTTTGAGTTACAGAGAGAAAATGGCAGTATTAAAACCTATTCTTGGGATGGCAAATTCCTTAGAAGAAATAGGAAGCTAGTGGTGGGGTAAGTCCAGCTTTGAGGCAATTTATTCTAGAACGGTTACACACCAGTGCTCAGGGGGCCACTCTGGAATACAAGCCACGTCTCACAAAATCAGAGAATTATTTTGGTGGAAGAAAATGCTATGAGATGTGCAGGATTTTGTCAAAAATTGTGACACTTGTGCCCGCTGTAAGTATGAGACAGTAGCAAGTCCGAGGTTGTTACAGCCACTATCAATTCCGAGTAAGGTGTGGGAGAGTGTTACTATGGATTTTATCGAAGAGCTCCCCAAATCAGGAGGAAAGAAGTCATTTGAGTTGTAGTGGATAGAATGAGCAAGTATGCCCATTTTATGGCCCTATCTCACCCATTTTCAGCTTCTACATTAGCTCAAGCATTCTTGGATAATATATATAAATTGCATGGAGCCTCAGATGAAGTGATAAGTGATAGGGATCCGGTGTTTATTAGTAATTTTTGGAGGGAGTTCCTCAAGTTGATTAGAGCGGAGCAAAAGCTTACTTCTTCCTACCATCCTCAAACCGATGGTCAATCTGAGGTGCTCAATCAATGTTTGGAAACTTATGTACATTGTATGTGTTGGGAGAATCCTAAAGAATGGAGTAAATGGTTACCACTTGGTGGTATCATACTAGTTTTCATACTTCCATCAAGGCTATTCCCCATGAATTACTTTATGGGCAGAAACCTCCTCTATATGTTCCTTATTTGCCTAGATCAGCAATTGTTGAAGTATGGACAGGAGTTTTGAGGCAAGGGAATGCATGATTGGAGTATTAAGGCATCATTTGCATAGGGCAGTGAATTTAATGAAGCAAAGAGCTGATTTGAAATGATCTGATCGAGAGTTTAAAGAAGGTCAATAGGTGTTTTTGAAATTACAGCCTTATAGACAAATCTCTATTGCCTCTAAGAGCACTCAAAAGCTAGCACCAAGGTACTTTGGGCCTTATAAAGTGCTCAAGAGGATTGGGAAGGTTGCGTACAGGCTGGAATTACCTCCTAGTTCCAGAATTCATTCCACTTTTCATGTTTCTCCCCTCAAGTTATGCCCTAACCCATCAGTGAGGCAGAGACGTCCACCTGATGAATGGCCAGAAATTCCAGAATTGTTATTTCCTGAGGAAATATTGAACAAACGTGTGGGAAGGAAGAAAGGAAGGATTATTACTGAAGTATTAGTTTAGTGGAAAGGCTCGCCAGATGAGGAAGCTACATTGCTGTCTCAGTTCAAATTTCAAAAACAGTTTCCAGATTTTCCTCTTTTTGATCCTTGAGGGCAAGGATGTTAGGGAGGGGAGTATTGATATGAAAATATTAGGAGCTATAGGAATTAGTTGGGGCAGGGGTATAAATGTTATTTCTATTTGGGTTAGTACTGTTACTGTTATTTAGTCTAATAGTCCAATAGTCCAGCCTTATAAATACCCAAGTCCAGATACGTAATGTTGTTGTTGAACTCATTTAATAAAACGCACTATTCAAAAACGTCTCATCTAAACTTCCCTCTGTTCTCTCCTATGCGTCTACCTATCACTCTTCTCTCTTCATCTCTTTCTATCCTAACAAAATATGTCAACTTCACTACGAACTTCAAGTATGTTTTAAACACTTTTATAAAAGATGGATCTTACGTGGCCAACATGAAAAATGCAAGGGTCTCTTTCTTCAATTTTTCCTCATATTGATTAGCATCTTCTGCATAGTCATCCTGATTTAGATAGATAAATCAAAAGGTCAAGTAAAACTCTATGTTTTACAAAAGTAACTTCTCCTAGAATGATACAGCATGTCGTCATTTGGAACTTAGAAGACTTTCTAGTGGTTCCCTCATGGGGCCCACATATTTAAAGACAAAATGAAGTGCCACCATTTAATCTGACTCCAACTTACCAAGTCAACAACTTTGACAGCCGCTTTCTCATATCTTGCCTTGATCTCCTCTGCCAAAGCCTATAATAAAAATTCAAAAAAGGCAAAAAAAAGTACGTTCGTAACAAAGCAGTAAAACATGATTACTAAAGAAAAACTGCTGTCTGAAAAACAAAGATCCTCTTTAAATTGAGATCTCACCAATTCAAGCATTCACAAAGTCGGGGAAATAAGATTCTTATTTTGGTACGGTAAAAGTGCATAAGTCACATCAAGCTGACGTTAACATATTTTTCAATTAGCTGCCTTTGAGGAAATAGTTATAATAAGGACTTATTTTTGAAATGCTACGAGCATTCTAGTCGCCCCTCAGTGCTCTTCCTTCGAATTTCCTAAGCTCCAATATAATGCCAATACATAGGGTTACTTCCCGTTATAGAGCTGTCATGAAGTAATTTGATTTCCCATTAACACGGGGATATTCCTTCTGCAATTTAAATTTTCCGAATTGAATACCAGGACAAATCAACAGGCGTTTAGAAAAGCTGAGGCCGAGTGACGACTAAAAATCTCCATCGTTGAGTATGTCCTTGGGTAATGCAGGAAGAACACCGCCTATGCTCGAACTAAGTTGTCTTAAAAAGCACGAGGAAGCACGTAACAGCATCCGATTCGTCTGAGTTATGACGAAGCAACAGTGTAGAAAGAAAGAAAGATATTGTTTAACAGGAGGGTCAGCAGACACTTCCAAAAGAAAGTACCAATAAACCACATAAATCGCATCTGGAAACAATTTTATGACGTGCTTTCACATTTACACCAGAAATAAGCTGAGAACATATAAACACCGCAAACATTTTCACCTTAGCGAATCCCTCAGCGGTACCAGTCTGAGTACCGAAGAAAATTGTAACTTTAACCTTCCCCAAGCCCACGTCAACATCATCTTCTTCATCCTTCACCGTCGAAGACTTGGGCACCGCCACTGGCTTCACCTCCTTACTCCGATCCCCCGATTTCTTCCACACAAATACCAGAAGCCCAAGTACAATAGCCACCGAGGTTGTCACGATCACCAGCAACAAATCCGAAACTGAATCACCCATCGAAATACCCAGCTTCGATTCAAGGGTACGTACCAAATCAGAATTCGAAGCCATCGTAACGAAGCAACAGAAAATCAAGTCAAACCGCGAAATGAAGCTCAAATCAATTCAAACTCTCTCCCTGATGATGAAGTTGTAGCCGATTCCCTCACTCTTGCTCCATCCCCTCTTTCTCTACCAGAATGTGAGAACCGAGAAAGCTCGGGTTCGCCCACGCCCACGGGGAGGAAGGAATTTCGAGCGCGAGAAAGAGGGAGAAGGAGGAAGCGGAGGAAACAATCAAAACTGAAACGGTCGTGTCTGACCAGGACCCACGAGTCCCGAGAGGTTGACAATTAATGCCTCAAGCCAATTGTCATATCATTCTCGTTAAGACTTTGGACGGGAGTCCTGGTACAGTTCAACACGACACCATGACGGCAATAGAGGCGTCTCGGCGTTGACAAGGACCTCCAGAATTGGCCACGTTCTCCTCGTCAAATCCATTCTCCTCTTTGTCGAACCATTTCAACCTTTATATAGTGATCATTGGCCACAGCCAAAAAACCACTTTTCTTAAGGCGTCGTCGGACATCATGTTCCCGTTTTTATTTGACAGCAAATTACCTCATGTTTCTATATCAGTACCGTAGATATGATATTTACTTATACTTTTTCGATAAGTATTTATAAAATGTTAAAATAATATTTTTTAAAAATTTTAAAAAATTTTAATTTTTGATATGTATTTAATATTTATAAATTATTAATCGATGCTTAAAAATTAAAAAATTAATTAAAACTTACAATATTAAACTTTTTATTACTAATATCATTTTTTATTTACTTTTGAAATTAAAAATTAAATTTTTCTCAAAAAATAAGTTTTGCATGTAATAAAAGAATAAATATTATATTTTTTTAATTATAAAAACATGAAAATGTAATATTATAATAATTCAGGAGGAGGAGATATTAATACTATATCTATTAATAGGGAACAAGTGGTAGGCAATTAGATATAGATAAAATAAAAATACAATTAATAATTATATTTGACTTGGTATTACTATAATTTATAAATGACTATATATGTATGATAATTTAAATATTTTTTTAAATTAAAATTATTTTTTAATATTTCTTATAAATATATATATGTATATTAGAAATATATCGTATCTTACATTTTTAAAAATTAAAGTATCAACATACCATATACGATACACATATAAGTATTCATGCAGCCTAGTTTGATAGTGTATGTTGCTCTGGATAATTTTCTTTTTTGAAAAAAAGACAGTAATTGCTAATTACTAATTAGTTAAAAATTAATTATTTCCGGTCAAAAAAATGAATCATTTTATCCTTATAATTTAGTATCTTTTAATTTTCAGTTCAGTCACTACAGTACTAATTAGTTAAAAATTAATTATTTCCTGTCAAAAAATGAATTATTTTATCCTTATAATTTTCATTTCAGTCACTGCAGTAATATAGTTTACTGTTGTTACTTATTACATGGATAATCCTTAAAATACTGAACAAAATTCTAAAAATTAAAAACAAACTTTGATAAAATTATATCTGTGTTTTTTCTAAAAAAAACTAAAATTAAAATGCCCCGGGTGCTGAAATGGCTTGACACCGATGAAAAGTAACACTTGTGGCGGTTAATTTTGTGACAGCCAAAGTACAGTTGTAACAACGTTTGAGTCAACCTCCACGAGACTGATAAAGAAATTTTAAAAAAATTAATTAATTTAAATTAAATTTTAAAAATTTATAATTTAATATTTTAATTTTATAATTTTATTATGATGAATTTATATTTTAAATTTTAAATTTTAATAAAAAAATATTTTTTTACTTTTTAGTTATGTTAAAATTTTAAAAACAAGTTACAAATTCATTATAATATAATTATAAAATTGAGAAATTAAATTATAAATTTTTAAAATTTAATATTTAAGATCTAATTTAAATTAATATTTTTTTAAAATTTTTTTACCATTCTTCTCGCAGATTTTTACACTCCATTGTCTTTATCGCTTTTTTTTAAATTTTTTTTTGGCCAAAATGTCTTTATCGCTTTCAAACCTCAAATTTTCAATACTACATTTTATTCCTGTCATTTCGTTTTATTTGCCTATTGTCCTTCTTTTTTCTGGCAAAGCGAATATTATCGTAGTTCTTGCGAACCAAACAAGCCATCAGCTAGTCAGTTTTTTTATATTAGAGCGTTTGACTCGGCAACAAATTAATATTATGGGGAGTTACGTTATTTGAACAAGTCTAAACTACATGGTCCGGGTTTAAAATAAAGGCAAACTATAAGAAATGTGTTATGAATATTATAAGAATAGTAGATGTTTATCTTTATCACTTCTTCATCTTCATCTTCTCTTATAAAACTCTCACCATCATGAGAGTGTTGATTATCGTGCTTTTATTATTTATGTAACTTTTGATATGTAAGACCATACCTATAAATAGGGCATATAATTTGTATTGAAGAATACAATAATATATAAGAAATTCTCTCATTCTTTTGTCTCTATTTCTTCTCTCAATATCTTTATTTTTTAGTTGTTAATTTTATAACACGTTATCAGCATGAGAGCTCTGGTAATCTATAAGTTTTGTAACAAGGCTTCTCATTCCAAGGTAATTTTTATGTTCATATATGATTTGATCTATTTTATAACCATTTGATCCTTTTAATCTTGTTTAATTTTGAATACCATCTAACTCTTATCATATTTTTATTATAGTATCTATATGTCGAATCTTTTGAAATTTGAGTTTGTGGCTCTTGATATTACTAAAAAAAATTATCTATCTTGGATAATAGATGCAGAAATCCATCTAGATGTCAATGGTTTTGGAGACACAATCAAGGATAGCAATCAAGCATCCAATCAAAATAAGGCCAAGGCCATGATCTTTCTTCGTTACTATTTACATGAAGGATTGAAAACTAAGTATTTAGCTATAAAAAACCCCCTTGTTCTTTGGAACAATTTAAAAGAAAGATATGACCATCAAAAAATTATAATTCTTTCAAAAGCTCATTATGATTGGATGCATTTGCATTTACAAGATTTTAGATTTATAAGTAAATATAACTCTATAATTTTTAAAATCAGTTCTCAATTGAAATTATGTGGAAAGAAAGTCATTAATGATAATATGTTAGAAAAAACATTCTCCACATTTCATGTATCCAACGTCTCCTGCAGCAGCAATATCGTGAAAAATGTTATAAAAATGATACAATTTGTCCTTGTATTTTTATGAAACGATCTGGAAAAGAGTTTGCTATAATTACTGTTTATGTTGATGACATAAATATCATTGAAATTCCTGAAGAGCTTTCAAAAGCTATAAATTACTTAAAGAAAGAATTTGAAATGAAAAATTTGAGAAGAATAAAATTTTGCCTTCGATTGCAAATGGAATATATAAATAATGAAATTTTTTTATATTAAGAAACTTATACAAAAAAGGTCTTAAAATGATTTTATATGGATAGATCACATCCGTTATGTACCCCAATGGTTATAAGATTATTAAAGGTAGATAAAGATCCTTTTAGACCTCAAAAAGGTGATGAAAAACTATTTAGTCCAGAAATATCGTATCTTAGTGCAATTGGAGCACTAATGTATCTTGATAGTCATATATGACCTGATATCTCATTTACTGTTAACTTATTAGGAAGATACAGTTCTTTACCAACACGAAGGCATTGGAATGGTGTAAAGCACATTTTTTGTTTTCTTAAGGGTGCTATGGATATGGGATTATTTTATTCCAACGTATCTAAAGTTAACCTTATTAGTTATGCAGATGCTAGATTTTTGTCTGATCCTCATGTTGATAGATCACAGATAGGTTATTTGTTCATATGTGGTGGTACAACCATTTCATGGCGATCTATAAAATAGACAATATCAACCACATAATCTAATCATACAGAAATTCTAACTATGCATGAAACAAGTTGAGAATGTGCGTGGTTAAAATCATTAATCCATCAGTCGAGAATGTGTGTAGTTAAAATCATTAATCCATTACATATGAGTTACTTGTGGTTTGTCTTCTAATAAATGATCCCAACGATCATATATGAAGATAATACTGCTTGTATTACCCAATTGAATTAAGGATATATTAAAGGAGGCAGAATGAAACATTTTTCCCATTGGGTTCTTCTAGTAAAGTTTTTAATGAGGTAGCATTGAAATAGTGCATCAATTAATGATATACTCTTTTCTTCTACAAGGTTTTTTCCTACAGGGTTTTTCCTAGTTGAAATTTTTAATGAAACACATTCTTATATAATGGACATCTAAGGGAAAGTGTTATGAATATTACAAGGATAGTAAATGTCCATCTTCATCACCTCTTTATCTTTATCTTCTCCCATGAAACTCCCATCATCATGAGAGTTGATTGCCCTCCCATGAAACTCCCACCATCATGAGAGTTGATTACCCTTTATTTGCTTTTATCATTTGTGTAACATTTGATGTGTAAAACCATACCTATAAGTAAGGCAAGTAATTTGGATTGAATAATACAATAATTCATAAGAAATTTTTTCATTCTCTTGTCTCTATTTCATCTCTCAATACCTTTATTTTCTAGTTGTTGATTTTATAACAGAATAGAGGATCAATTTTCTTAAATATTTTTGGTAAATTAATTTTGCTTAGTTTTTAAGGCACAAAATGCACAAAATAAGAAAAATGAAGACACTTGACCAAAAAAACGGGGGAGAAATGACAATAAAATACTACCAAAACATATAAAGTTATAATTGCTTAAATAAAAGTTATGATTGATATTAGTTATTTTTAAAACTTGTTTATCAATCATAAAAGAAGTTTCACATAAAAAGTTGTGTTTTTTCGTTCAATTTTTACAATTCATATAACAAAAGTTGAAATTACTTAAATAAAAGTTTTAATTGGAAAAATGGAGCCAAACTTATTATTTTTATTTTAAATAAGAGATAATTTAGTCATTTAACCTAAAATCATTAATTTTATAATGGTATTTAAAGACTTCATATAAATTATGATATTTTGATAAACTTGTTTGTCATTTATATATTTTGATAAGATTTTATTATCATTTTCTAAAAAAAAAAAACTAACGAGCATGCAATTCAACTAAAAGTTATACTAATTAACTTAGTAAAATGTCTCATGTTTAAAGGCTAAACATGCAGTCATTATATATATAAAAGTAGGATTAGAAATTATGAGAAAATATTATGTGTTCATTTTTAGATTTGCTACATTTTTATATTTCAAGATGTTTTTTCTACAATTTTGTGCTTTGAAATCAAGTTTAAAGTTAGGTTCGGAATGGTTTATTATTTTTTAATATATATAAAATCTATTATTCAAGTTTGAAGTTAGGTGCAGGATGAATTATTAACTTTTAAATATATATAAAAATTATTTTTTAATATTTGAAATTCAAAG